TAGAATCGTTGTTCATTCGAATAAGAATTTGTTTAACCTTGAAAATGTCTTGATTGCTCGCGTTATCTTCGAAATACGGTAAGAGTGCAATGGGACGTGAACAAAATTGATGTCTGGCCTAGTCCAAGAGTTACGACAATGCGCATATAGGAGATATAGCGAAAATGATAGATACGGCGAAACGTACACGAGTAGCCCACAGCATCAGCTCAATATCAAGGTTGCTATCAATTTTCCTAGTGAAAACTTTGGCGCGCGTGCGTCAGCTTTTACATTCCGCTTTTTCTCTATGCCGCTCTTTTTTTACAACGTATATAAAATAAAACAAAATAAAAAAGAACGCGTTACTCTGAAGCTGGCAGCGATATTCTGAAAATAAATTGTTCTTCTAACAGAAAAAATAATTCGACCATCGTAAAACAATAGAATAATACAAAATATAGTATGTGAAATAAATGTAATAATTTTAATAGTGATTTTAAATCTAATAATAATTGTAAAATGAAATGAAATGAATAAATAATTGTATAAATGAAAATATTCAGATTCCAGAAAATTGAAAGCAATTTTGCTCTCTCGATTAATTTTGTTCGATCGAAATTCGTGTAAATGTATGTAACAATAAAAGAAATTATCGGTTAGACATAAATTTTTTTCGAAGGGGGGTAATATATGTATGCGGAATTCGAGATGTAGAATTCGATGAAAAATTAAAAAATATCGCAGGTAACCCCGGGTATTGCGTTTGCATCGCGGACGAGCTTGAATTTATTCGTTTTTGCATTCTATTATACAAGTGCTAGCGCAGCTGCAACGCCAGGAGCCATTATTTCTGCCCTACTGACAGATTCAGATACGCGAGTACTCAAATGAATGTGTACGTCCTGACGTAATTTCTAATTTCTCGTAAGGTTCTCGCACCTTTCAGTATCATAATTCGTTTTTACGCGCCCTGTCACAGCCGTACGTGTACGAGATAATTTATAGTTTTTTATGTATGACATGTCCCCTTTATGGCGAAAGATTACCGTAAAAGCTGCGTGATGATAAGCGGTTAAAAAAAAAATTATCTTTTAAAATAGGTAGAATGCGCATTTTTCGCAAATTTATATAAGCCTCGTTTATTTTACCTTTTTACTAGAGCAAGTTTCAGCGTAAAAATTCACTGCAGAATTTGGGACGATTAAATCGTTATTGTCATAAAAGAGCTGTACAGTTAAAGTCAATCGAGTTGCGAGTTGCTGTTGATCAATGCGTTCGATTATTGGTAAATAGTTTTGGATACATCGCACAATGCAATTTCTTAATATTACCTATAGTTACAAATCCACAAGGGCAGGTCATCATAACTTCCAGTGTATTGACAGATCTGTCACATGCCTCTTTCATAAATTGCCTTTATTGGAAATATAACTGATACTTTCCGATATTTTATTGCTAGTTGTGGAATTTACTTGTAAAAATATACGATGATAAATTTTAATTGTTAAATTTATACGTAATATCGTAATCCATATGCCAATTTCGTACGCTTATAATTTACTGCAAATATGTGTGCGATATAATAAAAAACGTCAAATAAATGAAATAAAATAAAACACTCGAAAAAATATAATGCAGATAATTTTCCAAGTTTTATTTGCTTTTCATATCATTTTATGATATAAAAATCATCGTTTACTTTAAAGATTATATAATTGTAAAAAAAATAATCTCTTCGATCAAATATATTTGTATGTTTAATGCTCTCTGTATGTGTGTGATGTTTCTCTGTACATGACTTTAATTCTGCGACGTAAAGCTAAAGCGTTCGCTTCTTTAAACCTGCAATCAATATTCATTATTGCTTTCGAATATATTAGCTCAACAACTTTAAAATGCTTGCTAGGTATGGACGAGTATGCAAATGTCATACATCGAACGATAGACCGCGCTACATAAAATAAATCGTCAGCAATTATGCAGTGCACATGTCATTGTGTTTCTGAGAAAAAAATTCTCTCTTCATATAATAATATATGTTACTTTGATATACACATTCTTTTTTATAAATATCATCAAGATAAGATAAAACGCATTTAAAGCTTCAGCTTTCTTTATTCTCCGATAAAACTAAATTATATATCATCATTTTTAATAATTATTGAAGACAATTTTCGTGAAAGTTTTTAATTATATTTTCATATACGTATAAAAATGTTAAGAGAAATATACATCGAGTAGACGCGAAAAATAAAAACCAGTATATGGATTCATTCTTCTTTCAAAAGAGAAAGGAAAAAATCAAAATAATAATAATAGTAATAGATAATAATAGTTGATTGTGTTCATTTATCGCATCGAGCGATGATTTCAATGGAGACAAATGCAACATAACACGAGGCCATGTCACACTGTATATAAATTCGTGACTCATCATCGAGATTATAATATCGTAATATTTATGATACGACGAAAAATGTAACGCATCAATCTATTATCTTAAATGGGAAGACAATGTCCGAAAAATCTATCGTATTAATAATTGTCTGAAAAAAGTTGCCCGAATGCGACGAGGACTTAACGAAGCGATTCGCGATAAAAATATATCGCTGGTTTATTTAAATTCGATATTCGGAAAAAGGTCGTACGGGAAAATGGGGAAAGGTCGAGAAAATGAATTGGCATCGATCGCGATGAAACATATAATCAAATACGTAGCGTACAACGTATAAAACGCCTCTAATCGGCAATATATGCAATGCCGTATATATTCCGTATTCTTCCGTGCGCTCGTGAAATATCTACATATCGTTATCTGTTCCTCTCTCGAGACCGCGTAACGGATATAGTCGCACGAACGTGTTACCGAAGCGCGATAGTACTCGATATCAACTTTGCAATTACCAACTCGTTCTAGTAAATAGACGGGGCAGTTTTGGCGCACACGAGAGAACGCGACGAGCGAGATGGAGCGAGATATCTTGTGCGCGATGTATCGACAACTACCGGGATGTTTACAGTCTTCCCGGGGCTTATGTACACGGAAGTAAACAACTTAAGTTTCTTATTGTTAGCGAGCTGTCTTGTGCAAGACTCGCCTTTGTATCTCGCGAACGAATCAATCCCGCGGCGCGATTTCAGAAAATTTGACATTTTAATGAATACAAATATATAAGTATAAGAATTACTTATTTATCCGTTAGTATTATTTATATTTATTTGGGCACATTTGTTTATCTAAAATTAGAGATTAAATGCAAAATGAAGTTTTAATTGAGTTACAATAGCTCTCGATGATGTGTTTTATATAATAATTAAAAAGAAATTCAAAGAACGGATAAAAACTCAAATTAAAAAAAAATTCAATGATGTGTTTTATATAATAATTAAAAAAATATTCAAAGAACAGATAAAAAACTCAAATTAAAACAAGACGTTCTGAAAAAACTTTTATTCCGTTTTCCTTTAGATTTCGTAGCATATCGAATAAAACATAAGTAATCGAATATTTTTAAGCATAAAATAAATTGAGAGATTCAAATTTTATTTAACAATAAATTTCTTTTTCTTATCCTTGATTTCATTATATAATAGTTGCATAAATTTTACACACGCCAATTATTATTATTATTATACTATAGTTATGCGACTTGTATCGTTTAATTGTTAAACACCATGAGAGAGAATTATGAAAAGCAAAGATTTTTGTTGTTGGTGATATCTAAAACGGAACGTATATTTTTCAAAAGATTTTTCACTTGACGTGCAAAAAGCAGGGAATAACGTATTATCGACAGGTCCACTTTACATAATTAGGACAAACGGGGGAATACCATGAATGCTAGGCACACTTGTATATATCGATACTGACCTTCTTAACTTGAAAGTGCTCCGTCCTCAGGTTCTCGACGATCTCCTGGTCGGGCTTGACGGGTTGCGGGACCGACGACCGGAACCCATCGAGTACACCCTTGATCGTGAACTTCTTCATCGCGTCTGCCAAATAGGGTCGACCATTCGGGGGGGATCACATGTGCAATCGCGCCGTTCGTCCCTCCGTCCGTCCGTCTGTCCGTTTGACGTCCTCTCGGAAAAATCGCGGTCCGGGATTTTCAGATTTAGGCTCGTCGTCCTCTCGGCTTCTCAAACGAGCTCGAGCTCGCGTTCACGGAAATCCAGTGACATATTCGCTTTCTCTCTCTCTCTCTCTTCTTTCTTCTCTCTCTCTCTCTCTCTCTCTCTCTCTCTCTCTCACGGGTCGACTCTCCCGACACGGTGGACGTTGCTCTGCCGCGGAGCCGATCCTCTACATCTTGACAGTACGTGTCAACGGTATCTCGATGATGCGAACGCGCGGCCGCTCGCTCGCTCGCGCACCAAATCTCCAGGTACGGGATGTCTCGAGACGCGCACGAGGACGACGTTTATCGGTCGTCGCTTTTACGCCGAGCGCGAACCCGAGACGTGGCGAGAATTGTTTTCGTAGTTGACGGCAATGCGGTGTTGTTTAATCGCGCCAGGATCAATAACTGGCAACAGGCTCATGTGGACTTTCGCACGGTTGCGAATGCGAGCTACGCAAGCGTAATACGAACAACGCGCGGCCGCGCAATCGCCCGCGAATCGCACGCGCGATTGGTCAGACTGGAGCGCGTCGTCTGCTACGTTCGCTCGCTGGCTTTCAAGGCGCTTTAGGCCGGGTCTACAACGGATAATTTAAGCCCTTAAGAAATTGACCAATCACAGTCGAGTATGAAGGAATACTCGACTGTGATTGGTCAATTGTCAATTGTCTATTGTAGACCCGGCCTTACATGTCAAAAATTGGCAAAATGCGAATACCGATCGCGTTATTCGAAAGCCAAGTAATCGATTTCGTTATTCGACCTGTAGATTATGTAAATAATAAAAATTATAAATAATAAAATTAATATAAAAATAAAAATAAATTGTAAATAATATGTGAATAATTGCAAATAAATTGTAAATAATAAAAATTATATAATAGTTATAATTTTGCAATTTTGCCTCGTGAATTCGAGCATTCGAAATGCTTTCATGGAAATGTACCTTTGCATAGTTCACGTTGATTCACGTGTATTGTTATTTGACTGAACTACCGATAACCTCAATGCTCAGGCATGTTTACATCTTTGCACTGATATCAGTACTCGATTTATGATTTTGACACAAGTCTTGCAAATTTTTTCCAGGTACATCTCTTGACAAACGGAATATATCTTTTTATCACGCAACAATTAATTATCGAGCATTCAAGTATTCATATAAATCTCTTTAATTTTTTTATTAATTATGTATTGATGTTTTAGAATTTATGAGAGAAACGATTATCTGAGGACGTAGCAAGTACATACATCAAAGCTGCGACAAGATGACAAACACCGGAGGTAAAGTAGTCGCCAATTTGCGACAAAAGTTTGTGTCTCAAAATGCAATACGATGGTTCCCTGGGCATATGACAAAGGGCTTGAAACAAATGCAGCAACGATTAAAACATGTCGATTGCATCCTAGAGGTTCACGACGCACGGATACCAATTTCCGGACGTTATGCCGATTTTAGCAGGACTTTGACAGGCTTGAAACCGCATATATTTGTATTAAGCAAAAAGGATTTAGCGGATAGAAAATATTCGAAAAGTATAGTCTCTACATTGAATAGAGAGGGCTTATCCAATATAATATTTACAAATCTCAAGGATGAGCAGTGTAAAAACATGAAGAAAATCTTACCCTTAGCCAAGAAATTAATATCTAATTCATCGCGTTATAACAGAGCGCAGGAAGAGTCTTACTGTATGATGGTTATTGGTGTACCCAATGTTGGAAAGTCTTCTCTAATCAATCGTTTAAGAAGCAATCATCTTAACATGGCCAGAGCTACCCACGTTGGCGCAGAACCTGGCATCACACGTTCCGTATTGACTCGTATAAAGATATCGGAAGATCCAACAGTATTTCTGTTTGATACACCAGGCATTTTAGCTCCTTCTATTAAGGACATTCATACTGGTTTTAAACTGGCTTTAGTAGGATGTTTGCAAGATCATGTGGTAGGATCATATATGCTTGCGGATTATTTACTGTTTTGGTTAAATAAGAATGGCCGGTTTGAATATGTAGAAGAATTAGGTTTGCCAGAACCAAATGACAATGTGTCATATGTGCTTACGTATATTGCTGCAAAGCTTAAAAAAATTATAAAAATAAAAACCATTGATAAACAAGTGCAAGTTGTACCAGATTTACAATTTGCAGCAGATTACTTTGTTAGCTTATTTAGGAAAGGAAAGTTGGGATCTTATTGCTTAGATATGGATTTAATAGAAAAGTCAGATTGTGATGTTAGATTAGGATGATAATTAGATTATAATAATGATAATTAGAAGTTTAAATATAATGTAAAAATAAGTATACATATATGATAGTTAATTTATAAAAGAAATTTTAATTAAAAGAAATTTATAAATTTCATACATCTTATACCTAACCTTGAAGATTAAGAAACTATAATTTTGAAGAAAGAATTACTTCTCAATTATCATATCTCATTTTTAAAATCACAAATAACTTTTACTGTTAATTTTTGTATGTTAAAATGTAACTAAGAATTTTATTTTAAACTCTATATATGTAATACATATATATCTAATAGTGCATGTAAAATTATGTGCATTTTTATAATATAATATAAATATTTAAAAAGATCAACAAAAGAGCAAATGTTACATATAACTAAGAGAGCATATCATTGCAATTGTATTTCGGTGACTTTTCTCCTTATCAACTTCTAGATCTGTTATGCTACTTTGTATTCTTTGGCAATACGTCAACCGGTTACATACCAAATCATTTAGCTGTAGAAAAAAACCAGCTTCCATTTTCATTGGTAGTGACTCTCGAAAAAAGATGTACACGTGAAAGTGTTGTATCGGAAGGAAACAAGAAAACGAGAAAATGATATAAAATTGATTCATTTATCGATTTAGTTAAGAGATCAAACTTATCATTTTACGTATATCTTATCGGGAACTTTAAAATTGATTGCAACTTGAAAGTTTCACTCTGAAACATATGTTTCATTCTTTTCTTTCTCGAATTAATACGACACATTGGAATTAATTTATAGCAAAAATGTTTGCGAGAGTAACGTTCTATCCAACTTTGTTTTACAACATCGTTATGGAAAAGATAACAACTCGAAATTGGTACGATAGGATAGATGAAACTGTTATACTGGGCGCTTTACCATTCCGGCGGATGACAAAGCAGGTATGTTTTCTAGAATTTTAATTTAAATTTTTTTTTATTAAATTTAATTAAAAAAGATTGTTGATGTTTTTTTATTTGATATTTTCTTAAAAAATCTTATAAACATGTGATTGTTCTTTTGATAGAAATAGAGAAGATAAATTTCAATTAAATTCTATAATATTACTTTACTTATAATATAATATTTATTATTTCTCATTTCTTTTTTTTAAATCTTTTTTAATCTTTTAATATTTTCATTTTTTAATAAAAACTCGATAAGATTCTACAAAACAAATGTCTATCATATAATTTATCTTTATTATAAAATAATGTGTATATGCTTTATAATATGTACATATATATATATATATATATATATATATATATATATATATATACACACATACATACATATATATATATATATATATATATGTATCTATGTATGTATGTATGTATGTATGTTTATATTTTAGTGATATATATTTAATAATATATTTTAAAATATGTCATATATTTGAAATTTATATCATTTGGACAAATATAATTTCATGCAACTAAATTATAATGTAAGTATGTAAATAAATTTTCTGTTTCAGTTAATTGATGATGAAAATATTAAGGCTGTTGTATCTATGAATGAAGATTATGAGTTGTCTCTATTATCTAACACAGAGAAGGTAATGTGGTAGTAAAATTTTGAAAATGAAGTGAATATGCTAAAAGGAGCTAACAAAATATGTAAAACAATCTTATATGTGTAAATTAATATTTTTTTTTCATCAGGAATGGCACAGACATAATGTAGAATTCCTGCAGTTGTCTACAACAGATATCTTTCACGCCCCTTCTCAGGAAAAACTGCAGGATGGTGTAAATTTTATTAATAAATTCCGTACTGCACCATCTAGAAAACTGGGTAATCCACCAGATACTATTAAGGGAAGCAATCAACCTGGTACAGTTTATGTTCATTGTAAAGCAGGAAGAACAAGAAGCGCAACATTGGTTGGATGCTATTTAATAATTGTGAGATTAGCATAATTTCTTAATTGTAAAAGCACTCAAAGATTGCTTGAATCATTAAATCATAAAAAAATGTTTTGTTTTAGAAAAATAATTGGTCACCTGAAGAAGCAGTAAATTATATGCGAACAAAAAGACCACATATACTGCTCCATACAGCTCAATGGTCTGCGTTAAGACAATTTTATGCAGAACATATACAATATAAGTAATAAATTAAAAGTTATATACATATATTTTTTTATTATATTATTTATATGAATGGATATGTGCTGTACAAATAGGTAAATAATTTTTGAAAATTTATTGTTAGATATGATGTATATCATATATTCTATTATGCTGTATATCATGTATTCTTCTAACTCGAACATAGCAAAATAAGAATGAAAAGATAATCTATCATAAATATGAACTTATTACACAATCACATTTCTTAATTATTTATAATAAATAACGATTTTTTCTTCTTTGATTTCTTTATTGATTTTTATTTGTAAGTTCAATCTTTTTTACGTGCATGGATGCAAATTTAGTAGCCTGAGTCATTGCTTTTTCTAATTGTACTTGAAAATCCTGTGACACTTGTATTGATTTCATACTTGCAACTAACATAGGTTTGAATCCTTTAATAGATCCTTGCTTTCCGTTAAAAATTTGAAGAATGACATCCATCCAGGTTTGTGCATTAAATGCTTTAGAAACTATCTCCTGTATGAAATAATAATTGCCAGATAACATGATTATTAATTTAAATATAAATTACATGTTGCTGCCTACACACGCAATTTATATTAAAATGTACATTAAATGTATGAATGAAATATAATACCTGTGGTACAGAACATCTTGCTTTTACAGATCTATTAGTAATAGATAGAACCAATATTGGTACTTTAGAAAAGGGAGATATAACTTCGTGCAATGACAAATATGTAGGATTTTTATTTAGGCAATGTACGATAAAACACGATGAATCCAGTGTATTGGTGATTTCACGAATTATAGAAGCTCTACAAAATGCTATTATTTAGAATTAAGCAAATAATTACGATAAATATGAGATATGAAATATTATATACTTCTCATTTTCTTTTTCTTGCAACCATATTGCTTTGTTCAAATTCTCTAAGCTTGTCAAGCATTTCTCTTTAATTAAATATGGTAATGTTTGTATATTTGGATCATTAATTTCTTGTTTTATTCGATTTATTTCTTCCTGAAATTGCTCATATGTGAATTTGTTACTTTTTAATGTTTCTTCTAACTCCGCAATTCTCTGACTTATTCTTTCACCGGCCTGTTTCATACGTAAAGCCTCTTGGCCGACAATGGCTTTAACAGTGCGTTTTGTTGTTCCCTTTGAGGTATATGTTAAAAAACAAAAGTGTTGCAAAACACTTGTATTATGTACATGAGTGCCGCAACACGTTTCCCTAGAAAAATAAATAAACATACACATATAGATAGATATTCATTGTTAAATGAAATTTAGAAAATAACTTGATATTTAAAATTTGGATTTACTAACTTTGATTTCAAGTTGTTAGCATTGATTTCTATGACTTTAATGCCTGTGTAGGGATATATTTCCCCAGGGATCAATGTAATATCATCTTGTTTTAATAGTTCAAGTAAATTTAAAGTTTCCACAGTTATTGCAGCACGGGTTTGTATGATATTATTGATACAATGTTCTATTATTCTCATTTGATCCAATGTAAGTTGCTCACCAAATGAATTAAATTGAAATTTTAAATTATCCGCATTGACCGTAGAACTACTTTGATAAACTACTTGCATAACTTGTTTTAAGGCTGCATTTAATAAATGTGTTGCTGTATGATGTTTCATAGCTCCAATACGAATATTTGGTTCTATATTGACTAGACAATCATCTCCTATTTGTAAATACAATTCTGATGTGCTGAAAAATATATAAATGTATTGTTTTATATGTATTGATTATTTAATGATTTTTTTATGATAATTGTATAATTAAAATAATTTTATACATATATCTAAATATAGAAAAATATAAAAGATATTTACGGTAAATCTATTTTGGCAAAATATCCAGAATGAATCACATAGCCATTTATTTTTATGACATTGTCTATGTTAAAAAATAGATTCTTGATAGAAATATTGCCTATATCTGAAACTTGACCACCTTCTGATGAATAACATACAGTCTTATCCAATATAATACCAATTTCATCAGTACTGTTATATATTTCTTTAACATTTATAGTTTTTCTAGTCTTATTTATAACTAATTCTCCTACAATATATAAAATAGATATTAGTTTGAATTAAATTATACTTTAATTAGAATATAACATATATCTGTGGAATTTACTGTAATATTACCATTGATAATAATCCCAATGAGTTTGCTGTTAAGTGCTGGAAATTCATAATTGTTTCCATTATATGTATAATTGTATTTAAATGAATCATTTGTTTTAGGCACATGATCCTTTTCAAGTATTTCCAAAGATTCCTTAGTAAGTATGCTATTTTTGTCTAATCCAATTTTTGATTGATATCTATGATTATCAAGTTGCTTTTCAAAATCAATTTCATCAAAATGTAATGATTCAATTTCTGCTAATTCTGCTATAGTTTCTGAATTAAGGCCATATGTATCATATAATTTAAATGCGACAGTTCCGGATAATATGTTAGTTTTACGCCTGTAAATCATATATTATGAATTCTAAATACATTATGTTTATTTATCAATATATTATGTTTATAATATTAATGTATTATGCAACAGATGAAAATGAGCGATTTCTTTATCTATGTCAATATTCTCTTGTTTCAAATATCTTACAATTCTTTTAACATGGATTGTAATTCTTTGTAGCCATCGACTAAACCAGGAGCCATCCAATCAGTGATTGATGCTAGTTCAGGACGAATTTCAATCATCTTACTCCATTTTTTACCAGATGTATTTCGCAATCTTTTGAACAGATCTTCCTCAAAGTCTATTATCCTTTGTACCTGAAAAATTGTATCCAACAATATTAAAATCATATGTAAAAATCCAATATCTCTTTTTCCAACAAGAATGATTTCGGGAATCTTTTGCATTACCTGTTTCAGATTATTGTGTAATTCTGGGTAAGCTGCATCTAAGTTATCAGCCACAGTATAAGCAAGTTCAGTAACTATGCCAGATTTTTTGAATATTTTCTCTCCCACATTTATCGCATTTCGTAATATTCTCCGTAGTTTTTTTCTGGTAAACATAAAATATCTATTGTATTTATATATAATGTATGACAATACATAAAATATATAAAAGATGAAAATATATAAAAAAGATTCTAGATACTAAAACATTACATACTGTTCTTCAGGTAACATATTATCAGCCAATGCAACAGTAACCATTCTCGTGTGATCTGCAAGAATTCTATAACCATAGTCAAGTTTGCCTGTATCATCATTATCAAATGTTCCTTTATAATTTGGCGCGTTCGAGTGTTTTTGTATTGCATCAAATAATGGCTGGAAAAGATCTGTATCATAATTTGATTTTTTGCCTTGTAGAAAGGTGACTAATCGTTCAAACCCCATGCCTGTATCAACATGATGTTTTGATAAAGGTACTATACTTCCATTTGCAAGCCTAATATAAAATATTACGATATTTAATAGACTATGCAATTTTATTACAATTCAATAAACTATGCAATTTTATTACAACTCATACAATTAAACTTTGTATACGTATTATATAAGAAAGAAACTTTTACAAACAATGAAAGATTTAATACATAAAGTAGTAAAAAATAGTAAACAAAATATATCAAAAGCATTATTTTATGATTTAACTAATTGTACTCCATATGTTTCTTTATAGAAATTGATAAGTCACCTTTCATATTGTATAAAAACTATATTCCACAATTCCATAAGATCTGCATATCCTTTATTCACTCGTGCAGCTTGATTGGTATTTCGTCTCATAAAATCCACATGTATTTCTGTACAAGGTCCACAAGGACCTGATAGACCCATTTCCCAGAAATTATCTCTCATACCAAAAGGTAAAACTTTGCATTCTGGAAGACCAAGTCTTAACCAAATATTCTTGCATTCCAGATCTGGAGCCATGCCTAACTTCTCATTACCACCGAAATATGTTACATATAAACATTCTTCAGGTATGCCATATACATTTGTTAAAAGATTCCAGGCATATGTACAAGCATCTTCCTGAAAATTTTACAGTTAAATAAATAATTATATAAAGAAGCATATCACAAGTATGAACAATATTGTATTATACATATATATACATATATACATACTTTAAAATAATCTCCAAAGGACCAATTGCCGAGCATTTCGAAGAATGTATGATGATAACTATCATTACCAACAACACTTAAGTCATTGTGTTTTCCACCAACTCTAATACACTTTTGCGAATTGACAACTTTTGCTGCAGGTGGTTCATGATAATCTAAGAAGATTCCTTTAAACTAAAGAGATGCGAGATAAGAAGCATAAATTTATCGACAGATTTTTCAATAGAAATAAATTTCAGAAAAAAGGTATACCTGATTCATACCAGCATTGATGAATGCTAATGATTGATCAGCAATTGGAGAAACAGGACTGGAACGAATAATACTGTGTTTTAAATCGTTAGAAAAATAATCTAAAAATTCTTTCCTGATCAAATTTGCAGATTTGTTGTTGCTAAACTGATTATACGAGCGAATGAATTTATGAAAAGTCATTTTTCTTGTTACGGGATTAATTATCGCGCATAAATAATACATAATATAAATAATTAAAACAGTCAGTGTTTACAAAAGTCCACATTAGGAGTCATTGGATATCACTTTGTTTTGCATAACGTGGTTAGAATGTACAGACAATTCGATCAATATCCATTCTGGATTAAACACGCGAAGTGTCATCAATTTAAAATGTTTATATGTTAATAAAGTTTATAAACATTATACTTTTGAAAATGCAAATGTACTGTTGATAAATATTAATATATGAATGTATGAAAAAAAGGTACATTTTAAAAGTTCGCGCCATCTAAAATTTTAATCGCGCCATCTCTTGTCAAATTGTGTCCATCTATCTAAATAGATAAATGATGTTGAGAAAAAGAAAAAGAAGACTCATAAATAAATAAATATATAAGTATATAATATAAATATATAATATAAATAATAGCGTGAAAAGAGAGACATACTAATATTTTTATATAATAAATTATTATTAATTAAATTATTTATATTTTTATTTATATTGTAGTTTATGTCCACGATTTCAATGTCCATAGAGGGAGTATCGCTTTCAGGGATCACCTAAAGCAGGTCATGATATCTCTCAGTCTTCTCTCTGATAACTGAACTGAGTTGCACCAGTTCAGTTATAAAGAACAGACCTAAGGTTCAAAAAGCTCTTTGAAATTTTAATTAGCAATTTATTCAATTTGATTTACACAATTTTTATATTTGCAATTATTTAAATGTAACAATATATTAAATAATATAAGATAGGTAATCGTCAATAATAAGAATATCTAATTATAAGATATCTACTAAAATATATATTTTTCATTTTTCGTTTAATATTACTCTATTTTACATCGAGAAATCAACAGAATTACTAGGAGACTATGACTCGATGAGAAGTAAATCAAGCTGAAATAAGTTAGAGATTCAAATTCAAGAAGCAAACTTTGCGATATTAGGAGAATATAATTTGAAAGAGCTTAAATATCTAAACTTGTTCATTTTAGCTCGATCGACTCGATTTACTTCTTATATCGAATGATATTTCTTTAACAATTTGATTTTTTGAGGATATTCACGAAAGAAAATCGCGAGAGAGAGAGATACACATTTTAACAATTATTAACATTATGCCTAATCATATTTCTTTGATAATTCTTTTGCGCAAGACGAGGCAATACGTGCGTGCGCATCATATTTATAAGGGCTGCGTTCGAAAATTTACTGCCAGTGCTGAAAATTTATAGTTTACGTGACGTACACTATAGATATGTAGGTCACGTGATTACAAGTCATCTGTGACTCGAAGCCCGAATCAAGTATTTGGTTATCTGAGAAAATCGTGAGTAATCTTTTATGCAAAATACTTCAAAAAAGAACATCAATACATATATGTAGGTCTTATCTGATATGCGAAAATCTGTCTAATTAATAAAGATTATAATATTTATTCCCCAGCTTTTTTATATTGTGTAATAAAACATGTTTTTATAGCTGTTCGTGTGGGAATAAGTTACTAATTGTTTTAATTATTATTGCACAAAATGACATCTCTTCTCAACGAGGGAGACGAAGTTCTCGTTATATTGGGAAATGAAGCATCTTTTCCTCATGATACGACAAAATTTAATTCTGCGATCAAGCAACGTACCGGACAACTTGGCAAGATGCATGTCACAAATTTGTTGGATCTAAAAAAGAGTAAATATATAAGTTTTATTTGCTTTGGAACATTTTTATTGTATTAATAATTACTGATATATTACACATTATTTCCAGAAAATTACAATGCTTCTGTTTTTGATGCCATTATTGCCATTTTTACACAACCATGCCCAAACGACGGAGGGTTCTTGACAGAAGCATTGAAAATTTTGAAACCTAATGGTTCACTTGTCATTTATGAACCATTACCGGCAGAGAAAAAATCAGATACACAACTTACCTATGCTGAAAGAATATCTACGTTAAAGTTATCTGGCTTTCTAGTAAAAAATATAGAACGACAGAGCCTGGACAAGGATTTAGAGGATGAAAAGCTTTTGCTGGAAATATATAACAATGCAGAGGATATTTGTAAAGTATTGGCAAATAAACCATCATTTGAGGTTAGTATTTTATACTAGTTAATTACATTATATTAGTTATATTAGTCAATTTGTATCTTATTCGAGAAAAATTGCTTCTAATACATTTTTCTCTTTAATAATTTAGGTGGGTTCCAGTATTCCTTTATCATTCATAGGAGAAAAAAGTAATGTATGGAAGCTTGATGATGATTTGATAGATGAAGATGAACTTTTAGATGAGTCAGATCTTGTGAAGCCAGATGCATCATCTTTAAGAGGTGACATTAATATTAAAAATTAAATATATATCAATTTTATATTACATAATTATATAAATTTAAAAATTTATATAAATTGAGTAAATTTTTTTTCAGTCTGTTCGACAACAGGCAAGCGAAAAGCATGTAAGGATTGTACATGTGGACTTGCAGAAGAGTTAAATAATAAAACTGTACAGGAAAGCACTGTTAAATCCTCTTGTGGAAGTGTAAGTCTTATATTATAGGCATTATTACAATGAAAATTTATGCACATGCTATATTTAATATTGTATTTTTAGTTATATAAATTAAATATTCTAAATTTTTAACAATTTTTTTATAGTGTTATCTTGGAGATGCATTTAGATGTGCCACTTGTCCTTATCTTGGAATGCCAGCCTTTAAACCTGGAGAGAAAGTAGTTTTGCCTGACACTCAGTTAACTATTGATTCTTAAGTATTTTTTTTCATGAATATTATAATAGCAATAAATGTTTATCTCAATTCAGGGAAATAATTGTACTGTTTTCATATGACTACTTTTTATTTAAATATTTTTCTGAAGTATACATATATACATTTAGTATAAAAAGAATGCATATAAAATATAATTGCTCCTTAAATAAAAACACTTAATAATTTAAATCTATGAACAATTTCTTAAATGTAATTAAATATATTAAATAATAACAAAAAAGATATTTATCAAGAATAAAAATATCTAATAAGATATATGAAAATAATTTTCATATACATTGGATAATTGAATTTTCTTTTTATTGTTCTTACTCTTCTTAACATCAAGAAATCAAAATTATTAGGAGAATATAGTTCAATGAAAAATATTAAGTTGAAATAATTTAAATTCAGATGTTAACTATTCTGTATTAGAATATAATTTGGAAGAATTTAAATATTTGTACTTGCAGCTATATATAAATTTAATTTAGTTAGCTCTTTCCAAAACTTTCTTAATTATTGATATATATAATCTCTTAAAGATATATAACGATTCTATTTTAATCTCTTTCTTACCCAAAATATTTATTATAATATTTACATGAACGTTTCTAAAAATTCACAATATGCTTTGATTAAAATTATTTTATTAAGAAAATTACAACACAGCATTTTAAATAATATACGTCTATTATACAGTGATATTTATGTAAATTCTTTATAGCCAACAAACGAAACGAAATTTTAATAATGTCATGGCATTAGAAATTTTTCTTATTTATCATGATCTATTTATCTTACATATAACATTATACATTTAAACTATATCTAATATTTAAAAAAAACACTTTTTTATAATATATTCTTGATACATATGTTGCTACATGCAAATAATTTTTATACAATTGCGTTTGATCATTTTTTTCTTCTTTCTAGTGCAATTAAAATCAATTTAAAACCAATCAAAGCAATTTGTAATTAATCTAAACAATATATAATTCAAATATATATATCAAATATATATAATAATCAAAGCAATTTGTAATTAATCTAAACAATATATATCAATATATGAATTTTAAATTTAATCCTCGATATCCAGAAGATCCCCGCACATAGCTTTCCAAAAGTCAGTAACTACTTGCTCAGCGACTATACGTCTTTCGTTTGTTGGTAGAGATGCTGCGTGTTCTCTCATGGCCGTAAATTGACCAAATAATTCTCCAAAATCGAACATTTCATCCCCCATAAGGATATCTGTAAACATATGATAAAATAAGTAATAATTTCTTTGCACATTTTTATTTTTATGTGATTCTTTATCTCTACTGACCAAGCATGTTCTGCTTATGTAACCCTTCAGGATCGTTCGTTAATCGAATATTCTCAAATTGTTCTTTAATTTCATTTACTTTGAGTGTTTCATCTACACATGGTTTATCTGTAAACATAATTCAACTTTTATATAAAGAGACAGAAAATATTACCCTCATATTTTCATTTTAACAAAAACAATTTGTGATACGCTACTTTTGAGTACAATATTAGGCCATGTATGAGCATGTAAAGCTTCTATGATTCTTTCGATGCCATATTTATTACCCTCTGTATCAGATTCTGAATCTCCTGTTTGATCTAATTCAACCAATTCAAACTTGTTGTGTAAACACCAATTTAGCACTGAAATATATAAAATAAAATTTGCAACATACTAAACATTGTACATATTTATATATTATATATTCGTATATAATATAAAATATATTTAGATATCATCAATCAATGTTTTCAAAAATCATAACTATACCTTTATCTCGCAGAAGTGTATCAGTTATTGCACTACAGGAAAATAAGAATACTTCTGCTGTTGTTAACGAATTAGTTAAGGATGCCAAAAGCTCTAGTTCTTGATCCACACTGTTCTATAGAAATTGATTGCCATCAACATATATTATTTTAATTGCTAAACTTCCAGTACAATTATGTATCTTACTGTCTGTGGATCATGGTACACGATTAATGCGTTGATTCCTTCCACTGAGAGTTTATAAGATATATTTTCTGTGGTGTGTATTAATATCTGTGATGTATAATATTTATTGTCAATATTCCATAGATAATCGACAGTATCATCTTTCTCGGATAATCGTTCTGCACCTATATCTGCAAAGAGATATCATAAGCATGAGATAAATACGCATAAAATATAATATTATAAAAGCTTAAAAAATTATAAAGTTATAGTCAATTATGTCACTCGAATAGAAAAGTAATAGAAGAGAATTGCAAAATCGTGGCCACAGAAATTTTGCAGAAGCTATAAATTTCGAATAAATTATACACAATATTAATACTTGTACTCACTTTCCGCGATTTCCTTAGCTTTTCCTTCTTTCGTGCTAACGATCAATACTCCAGGTAAATTCATTACGAATAATTGAAATTTATACCTACGAATTATTTTATTAATACAATTTGATTAAACGTTAATTGATATGTGACATAAAGCTATTAAGTTAGGTTAGATCAGATGATCGGACAAAGACAGTACTATGCTACAGTGACTAACAGTATTAAAAAACAGTCATTTATACATATATGCGTATATATACTTTTATTCGTGTATGACGTATTGCCTACTAATGCAACCATAGAAGGCGTATATCCCCTCTCCTTCAATTGTGCGAGGGAGAAAGAGAATCGCTATCGCTCTCTCTTTCTTGCAGCTATTCATCAGGGTTGGGTTTATATTTTTTTTAAATTAAATTAAGTTAAAGTTAATGGGTTAAAAAATTAATTTAGTTATGTTAAAAATTATACAAATAAAAAATTAACTCAATAAAAGTTACTTTAAGATTAAATTAACGTTAGTTGAGATAAAAGTTAAAATTTTGAAAAGCATTATTTCACTTTATATTAAATTAGATTGTAATTTTAAAATTAGATTACTCTAAATAATAATAATATGAATCATCAAATAAATTTGGGGGGAAAGTTAATAAGTTTAAATTTATGTGTTTTAAAAATAACTAGTTAAAGTTAAAAGTTAACTCTTTTTAAAATAACTAAGTTGAGTTAAAAATTATTAACTTTTTAACTTTTTTTTTAACTTTTAACTTTTAATCAACTAGTTATTACCCAACCCTGCTATTCATATTGCTCTCTTCCAAGATATAATTTAACAGATCCCTTTTATAAATATTTTATTGTGTTAAGATTACAAGAAATATTTGTCATAGGTGTAAATGGAAATATATATTTAATGAAATGACAACAGTAGGTATTTAAAAATTTTAAAAAGAACTTGAACTTTGAAGAATTCACGCGTTTTATCCTTGCAATATTCTTTTATGAAAGTAATTAAAAAATTAAATTTTACGAAAATGCAATTAAAAAATATAATATATTATTGATTGGAAAATATTATTCACAAAATATTTTTAATGTAAAGCAATTGTAAATAATTTACCTTTTTTTATTATTTTTATATTTTGCTTGAATTAAAAAGAGATATGATACAATCGCGGATACAACTGCGGATGTCCTGAGAAAGATAATTTATTGTAAATATGCCGATATTATTTAAACAGATATGTGAGATCCCCGTTGAACATGATAAAAATATTGTTTTCAATTAAAGTTATCCATTATGACAGGAATTGCATTATTATTGTGAAATGATAAATATCATCTTTCCTACGTGTGCGTGAAGCACGAAGTTTCGATATATAAATATTAATATATTATTTCTATAAAATAAATGAAGAAAACACAATTCTAAATTATAAAAATATTGCAAGGATAAAACGCGCGAGATCTTTCAAATTCAAGTTCTTCTAAATTTTTAAATATCTAATTCTAATATTATTTAATTATTTAAGGTGATTAAATTGCTATGTTTTTATTATTTAAAGATTACAAATTATAAATTATATTTCTCGATTATTTCTATCATCGAAATGACTATTGTCGCGTATTATTTACATCCGACATTAACAGATCGAACTGGAGTTTCTCAGAAAGAAAGTAGAAAACTGTGAATAAACTAACATTTTCAGAATTGGACAGAAAGAAAAGAAAAGAATAATTTATTATATTACAAGCACAGTGTATATTACAATTTTATTATTTAAATCAACAGGATGAAAGATGCATCTTCGTCCTTCGATTTTATCAAGTTATACTATTGTCACATATCAACGGTACAGTCCAGGGTCTTTCCGCCCAAAGAAAGAACATATAAAAGGGTAACTCTAATAAATGACTTCCACATTGCGGTAAAGAACGTTACAATTCATTTATCGTATAATTGAAATTTCCATCAATCGCAAAGTTTTCTGCGAACATGAGGCGATTAATATTTTTGTGAGTAAAAATAATTACTTTTTTAACACGATATTAAGCTGATGACAAGTTGATTACTAATTTAATAATATAATATTAATACAGATGACAGGTTGATTATTAATTTAATAATATAATATATAATATTAATAATTTAATAATATTGTTCTGTTTTAGAAGATAAATATATATATGTATACATTAATATTTAAAACAATGAAAAATTTACCTATTGCTTAAGAATATCTAAATGATACGAATACATTTATTAATCATTAATAAATTACAATTCTCTTTTTTTTATTATATTAATATATTTTTATTATATTATATTAATATTAATATATTTTTTATTATATTAATTATCTTTGTAATTATTCTATAATTACTTATTTTTCGTTGAATGTGTCTCTTTCTAGTGTCTTCATTAGCATATTGCTAATGAAGAATGTTACATCATCGATCATTCAAACATATCCTTCAAATCTGGCATGGTTGTTCGGTATAAATGATCAATTAGATAAAAGCAAGGAGACGACACGGAATATATGTATAAATCAGGAATGCAAAAAAATTGGTATTAAAAATAACTAATTTATTAAAAATTAAACATTAAAATATTCAAATGTTTAATCAGTTTGTTGAAGATTAAACATTTAAATTTATTCTTTCTTGTATTAATTTTTTTTTCTAGCTAAGGTAATATCAGAGAGTATGGACAAATCTAAGAATCCATGCGATGATTTTTACGAGTACGCTTGTGGAAAGTGGCCGGAACATAATCCTATTCCAAAGGGAAGTCGTTCGTGGAGTTTATTTCATATGCTTCAAGATAATGTAGAAAAACAAGTAAACGGTAGTTATATAATATGTTGCATCACAACACTTTAATTTGAAACTCATATAATATTATAACGATATTGAATTTCATAGTTATTTTGAAAGAAGAATCCAAAGGAAGCGATATTTTGGCATTAAAGCTTGCGAAAAAGTGGTATGCAGTCTGCATGAATACTGGTAAGCATAATAGTTTTGGAATCATCAAATTGTATACAAAAATTATTTTTTATTGATATGATAATTCCTTGTTTTACAGATGCGATGGACAAGCAAGGACTCGATCCATTAGTTACCACTTTATCGCGTATAGGCGGCTGGCCGATGATAATGGATCCAGACGAATGGGACGAGCAAGAGTATAGTTGGCAAAAAGTGGACGATCAATATGTGCGCTTGATGGGAAGAAATACTTTTCACGATCTGCATGTAAACAGATATCATCCAAACAAGACCGTAGTGGTAAGAAAAATAGATATATATTAATATAAATAACATAAATTAATATTACGTTCTTATTTCATTTATTTATTATTGCATATTGTAATAAATCTAATTTGATTATATTTTTTTCTACTAATACGTTTTTATTATTAGATTGATACTCCGCATTTGCCTCCGGATACCTATAAATTATGGATTGCAATTTTGTACGATAATGATGAAATAGAAGACTATGATCTCAGTGACTATGATCTCAGTGAGGATAGTCAGGAGCCTGGAAACGAAGATGATGATGATGATGATAATGATGATGATGATGGCAACAGCGAGGACAATGATATTAGTGATGACGATACAAATGAACAAAATGAAGATAAAGGCACAAAGAAGAAAATCGGCAAGAAAAAATCCACGGATAAGTTTAATCATCAAAGAAAAACAAAAACGCAACACAATAAAAAGACAAAGAGTGGCACTCGAATTCTTGGGAAGCATAAGACGAAGAAACAAAGAGTAAAAAGACAAATTATACCGAGAAAAATCCATAGTAAACGTGCTCAGCATCTTACTCATCGTGAGAAATTGCGGAAGAGTAAAAGAAATCATGTAAGAAAAGCACAACATGAAGAAAGAAGAAAGGAAACTTTGGAAACGACGACATCGCAAATAATTACGGAAGAAACGAGTGATGAAGGTGATAAAACAGCGCAGCAGGTATATGCTAATTACATTTCGGAAGTAGCTCGTGCTATAGCTAAAGCGAGAGGCGCTGACGTCTCGGAGGAACACATTAATAAAGATATCGAAGATATGATCAAGTTTCAGGTGAAACTAGCGCAGGTGAGCAATTTAGCTATTATATTCTACTGTAAGATTATCAGTGAAGTATTTTTTAATGATGGTATATTTCAGATTACTATAGAATCTGAGGAGGATGCTTTGGAGTTGACGCTTAACGATTTTCAAGTGTGGTATGACGAAAAGGAGTCTAAAATCGCTAATAGTAAAGTAAGTTATTCTCCCATAAATGTCGTTTGAATTTTGTTAGTCTTATATTTTTATGATTAATGAAATCCTTTAAACCACAGATTGATTGGGTGTACAAAATTACGGAATTATTTGACGAAGCTCATGTGTCCGTGAATGGTGATTTAAATCTAGAGGTTCAATCACCAGATTATTTTGAGGCTCTTGTTTCTTTGTTGGACGAGACATCGAAACGAACGATCGGTGAGTTTCGAAAATAATGTCATGTTAATGATGAAATTATCCATACATGCGCTTATACATATAAAATATGTTTCAGTGAACTACATACACTGGCAATTTCTGAGCACAATGATAGAGGCTACTACGAGTGAAATGAGAAACTTATATTACACATGGGAAAAATGGGAAATATCGGAATCTGAGGAAGAAGAAGATGATGAAGATGAAGAAGATGATGAAGATGAAGAAGAGGAAAGCGAAGAAGAATGGAGGTTTGATGTGAATTTTTTTAAACGTCATGAGTATTTTCTTTTTAATTATTTCTTTTACAGTAAATAAAAAGAACAAATCTTTATTTTATATTATTTTACTTATTATTTATATTAGCATAATCTGAATATATATATATATATATATATATATATATATATACATATTTATATTCAGATTATGCTAATATAAATATATAATAATATATAAATAATATGCTAATATATATATATATGTATATGTATTAAAATATTGCTAATTTATATTATATTGATGTTAAATTATAATAAATGTTGCCACAGAGAGTCCCAATGCATGAGTAAATTAGAATTGCATGATATTCTAGCGTACGAATATGTTAAAAGACATTTCTCAGACAATATTACGAAGACTGTAAGTATTTTATATTAATTATTAAAATTGTTGCAATTTATTTTCATTATTATTCATAATAGTTTTGTATGTGTGCGTATGTGTATATTTATAAGTTGTCTAATATAATCTATTATATCTATTATATATTTATATCTATTGTCTATAGGCAGAAGATATGGTCGACGATATACAAAAGGAAGTAGAATATCAAATTAAAGAATCAGATTGGCTGGATGAAGATACTAAAGATTATGTTTTCGGGAAACTAGTGAACATGAAGAAATTTATTGGATATCCAGATTGGTACCGAAATAATACCATTGTTAAACGATATTTTCAAGGAGTAAGATTCTTAAAAATTATTATTATTAGTTAGTTGTTAGTATATAAATAGCATATGTGCCTAAAAGACATCTTCGAAACATCTTTAAAAATGTCTTATCATCTTTAGATATTTTTAAAATATCTTTTAGCTTTTTGTGCTGTCTAACGACCGTGATGTTTAATTATTTTGTTTCCTTTAAGCTCATTATTACCAATTCGTATTATGAGAATACGCTTAGCTACTTCAGATATCGTAAATGGAAACAGCTACGACAGATAAAGCAAAAGGGCGATGATGATGATGATGATGATATGTAAGATTTTTAATGCATTTTTTCATACCTGTTTAAACAATTACATCTTCTTTTCTCTTAACTCGCAGAATGAATGTTAATCTTTATACTAACAAATTTTGTTTTGTGTTACAGATGGTGGATGAGCCCTTTAACAGTAAATGCCTTTTTCTCCCCATGGTCGAATGCTATAAGTACGTTTGTTTTTAATAATTAAGATTTAAGTTTTTTAGAATTTCCAATTATATGTTGCCATTTTTACTATAACATTAATCTCTCTTCCGATTATAGGCCTTTCGGCAGCGGATTTCCAGAGTCCATTTTTCGCTTATAGTCGGCCACAGTAAGTGGATAATTTAATTATAAAAATATCGCAACGCGATACGCATAACGATATAAACAATACAAATGAACTTACGATTGCATCATGTGCTTCTATATTAATTCTTAATAAAATGTTTTTTAACGATATAATTTTATTCTAGAGCTATTAATTATGGTATTGTTGGAGTCATTATGGCTCACGAAGTTAATCATGGATTCGATGATGATGGTATGTATGAAATAAAATTGCACTGTAGATTATTTTATACTTTCTATTAATTGCTGTTATATTAATTGTTAATCTTTTTATTTTCTTGTTTTGCATATATTCGAAGTGTTATGTAAAAATATTTAATATGAGAAAGAGAAAAGAAAAGAAATTATTTTTAGGAATCACATATGATAAGAACGGTAATCCTGCCGAATGGTTATCTATAATGTCTCAAGAGTACGGGAAAAGAGCAAACTGTTTTGTAGAACAATTTAATAATTATCCCATTGAAAAAAATTCAAATAAAACAATACCGGTAAGTTACTTATATTTAATTATTACCTAATTGAAATTATTAATATTTTTACATTCAAGAAATGTTTGATTATGACAAATTGTTGATAAAAATTGTAGGACTATGGCAATCAAACATCAGGTGAAAATATCGCGGATACAATGGGATTACAAGCATCATTTAGAGCTTATCAAAGGAGGGAACGAGAGTGTGAAAAACCGGATACCGTATTGCCGGGTTTGGAAGAAGTCACCAATGATCAGCTCTTCTTCCTATCATTTGCCAATGTGGGTATCGCAGACAGTGATTATAAAAATAAAATTATGAAAATAATAATAATTAAAGTAAATATTTGTGGAGATATAAAGGCACTATATGTTAAAATTTGTAGGTGTGGTGCGAAGCTACTATCAATTCGGAAGCTGCTGAGATAAGAGCCAAGATGGACGTACACAGTCCTGGACGTTTAAGAGTGATAGGTTCTGTTTCAAACTCAAAAGACTTCGCCAAGGCTTTCAATTGCCCTGTTGGTAGTGCAATGAATCCCGAAAGTAAATGCAATATCTGGAAGTAATGTAGAAATTATAATAAGTCAAATATTTGATCAATATGTATAGAAAAATATTCGACAAAAATGTTTTATCCACTTATATCGATGAATAAACTGACGCACATCTAAGGAAGATTTTTCATTTATGAATTGAGTTTTTTCATAGATTTGAGATTTTTATCACGATCAGATCTTAATAAAAGAAAATATCTCGCATAAATTATCTATGAAAATATACTGATGAATGGAGCGACGTATATATCGTATAAAAATACTTGCTATTTTTTAAGATTCTCGTAAGAAATAAATCCAGTAAATTCAACGTCATAATTACGATATAATGAAATCTTGTTACACTTGCATTCATTTCTAATTAGATTATTGAAAAGCAATACTTGACCAGTTTTAAATGGATTAAAAGAAATGAAGAGTTCTAGTAAAAAATTTTATTAAGTTGTAATATTTCGTACATAATTCATAATCACTTCTTATAAAGAATATTGAGATATTTGAGTAATGATATGTTGGCAGAATTATTTTGTCATATGTATTATCGCACATGTTATGAGTAGATAAATAACATTATCTACTATTATATATTAAAACGAGATATATATATATATATATATATATATATATATATATCGTTTTAATATATAATATATATAATATATATAATATATATAATATGATATATATATATATATATATATATATATATATATATATTTCTTCTAATAATTGATTAAGTTTTATATTTTTGTATAATGATTTTATCATCATCGGTCCAATCCGGCTCAAGTGAGATATGATCCGGTGTAAACAAATATTAGACAATTATGGATATTAACCGAGAAGAAACGTTTGTCAAATTCTTTGTAAGCGTGTGTACTACACGCGCGACAGACGTCTAAAATGTGATTAGACGGGAATCGAGTACATATTTTTGAATGTAATACCAATTTGATTTTTATAATTTAATGTCATCCGTTTTGTTTCTCATGTACACCATTCTGCTTCTCCTGTAGTTTTAATGGTTTTATTACTTCTATCTCGTTCAATTGGTTATGATCCAATTGCTGTTTTTTCTTCTTCTTTGATGATTTTCTAAAAATTTTAAACAATATGCTCCATTAATTTATCTATAGTAAGAATAATAAATTATACAAAATAATAAAATATCAAAGATAGAAGACTCACTTTCCAAATAACTCGCCATCCTGAATCGTTTCAGGAAGTTTCTTGTTTAATGTCTCCGGGAGAAGAAGAGACATCAATCCACCAAGTAAGGCGCATGATCCGAAAATCACAAGTGGCAATGGTGTCCATAATTCCGACTAGAAAGCATAGATATCATATAATTTTGCAATTTTGCATAATTTATAATAATTATTCCAATTTTTTTATTAACAAAGTCAATACATTTTTAACTTTATCTCTTCATGCTCTTTTCAAATATTAACAAAAGTAATGAATACTACGTACTAAATGATTGACATATGGTGCAATAACTCCGCCAACTCGAGCAAAAGTGGAGCTCGCACCCAGTCCGACATTTCGGATAACAGTCGGAAATTGTTCTGCAGTGAACACATAAATTGCACCATAGGACGATGTAATAGCGAGTTTTCCTATCATTGCCAGGGTAATAATTAGCCACGGCATATCTAAAGAGATACATAAACTTGTCTATAATTACAGAATAGATTTTTTGAATTCAGCATTTTGAATGTTCGTGTGAATCATCATAAAATAAAATTATATGTTATAAAATTTTGTGATGATTATATTAAATGGAATTGCAATTTAATGATATTCTCACCGGCAGGGACAAATAACGTAGCAAGTAATGCTAATCCTGATAACATCATACAGCCACAAAGACTGATTTTTCTGCCCCATCGATTCAGGGTAAAGATGAGGAATGTGTACGCCGGTATTTCCACTAATCCGGATATTACAAAATTAAGGAGGTCGTTACCTCCGAGATTGGATGCATGCCAAGACAGTCCGTAGTACGTTCCGCTGTTGACTAGCCTAATATAAAAGAGAAAATCAAACTTTGTGCAAAATTATCAAATAAAAAGAACAAAAGATATACGCAGAACTGACGAAGCAACTAATACCAGTTAAAAAATAAAAGAATGCTCTTCCGTCTTAAATTTGGATAACGGAACAGATCGAAGACCGAAGGTTTTTTCTCGTCGGGCGTACTTTCCTCGGCCTTATTATTAAGAAGTGTGTCGAAAGTTTCACTCGGTATCTCCACGCCATTTTCCAAGGAAGCGCGTTGCAGCAAATCCTTCGCTTCCTGGTGGCGACCTTTCGTCAGTAGCCATCGTGCGGATTCGGGAATAAACCTGAATTAGATCATTGTGTGAATTGTAACACCTGACTGAAATTATATTCGTTAAGCAGAATATATATTCATTTCGTACCACCAATAAAGTAGAAACATGATGCTCGGTATCGTAAGGGCTACCTGTAGCATTCTCCAATCGGTAATATAATACGCAAAGGCAGCGGTGAGTAAGTATCCAAAAGTAAAAAACAATTGCACGCCGACTCCGGCTATTAACCGTTTTTTCGGTCCAACCATCTCCATAGCTGAGTAAAAAATTAATGCATTACAGCTTATATAATATCTATGTAACGTATTTGTACGATACAGTCAAAATTTTCGAAAAGCTTCCGCATAATATATTACTTAAGATTGCGAAATGATAATTAAACAATATAATATTTAGTTACCTATGACATAAGCTACTAAGAACACTCCACTGGTGGTTGAGCCGACAATTAATCTAAAAATTACGTAGGAAATAAATTCGGGTGCTACAGCGACTAATGTACCGCCGACCAGTTGTATGATTAAAGATAGGAAGAAAATTGGTCTACGTCCATATTTATCGGACAAAGCGCCGAATATCATCGAGCCAAGCATGACTCCTACCATGAACAATGAATCCCCCGTCGCCCTCAGCCACGCCCTGTCGCAAACCAAATCCCACTGTACAGAAAAATAGCACCATTTATTATTTATTGCGATATATATATATTTTTTTTTTAATTTATTTATATATATATTTTTTCTTCTTTTGAAAAAAACAAATTATATTTAAAAAATTTCTTTCTAAAATTTACAATATTTGAGTGAATAAATTAAAATGAGCCACTCTCTATGTGTGTGTGTGTGTGTGTGTATATATATATATATATATATATATATATATATATATTTATTTATTTATTTATTTAAATTGTGTGTATATATGAATTTTTATTTATCTAGGAGTTTGAACTTTATGCAAATTTCATTTTTTATTCAATGGCCGAAAGAGAAAATAATAAAAGTATTCTACTTTACGGAAAAAGAATGGAATAATTGTTATTCCGTACATCGGAAGTGGTTGTACTTTTGTATACGCTTCTGTCGTACACATACTGCTTGCACCGGCTGATCCCTTCTCCAATTGTTTTTTCAACGATTGTACCGTTCGTGGCGCCGATCACGTCACGGCTCAGACACTGGGACCACCCTTTAAGTTCGTTGTCCCATGGATAGCTTGCGTTCAATATATTCGGACTCAAATGAAATGTAGCGTTTTCCGCGAATTCGTGCGGAAGTAAACACCTAAGACAAGGAAATTTTCAATTTACAGTAAGTACACCCGTTACATCGTATTCCACCCTTATAATTATTATGCTCATTCAAACTACCTGGAATTCATTTTAGCTCCGAGAAATACACCGGCTAATTTGTGGAAGGCACACGATATTGCCGGAAGACAAAGCAGAAGGTAGACCCTGCGTTGATAGCGACCAAATTCGCCCATACGAAGAATAACATCGTCGTATGCCATTCTTCCCGAAGTATGTTTCCGTTATTTATTCGACGATATCGTTTAATCTACGCGAGTGTTTTTATTAGCACTCTTGTCAGCAAAGATAAATCTTTCTATTGCTTTTTAATCGGATTAATAAAAATAATCTTGCTCAAGACAATGAATATTCCTTCTACAGTATTTCATTCATATTGACATAGTTATCTCTTGTAACAGAGATTTTCTTATCGTGATATCCGGAAATTCATTCCCGGAGAAATATATACGAAGACATTTGTATACACTTTTTAAAAGTCTCTGACTCAACCTTCAGTTCAGAGACGATCGTTTATTGGGCTTCCAAATATATTGATTTCTTGACAGAACGGTGATAACTGAAAAAGAAAATATCATGTGATATTTATTTTTTAATTTTTCTATATCTATTTATCTATATCTATTTCATCTATTTATCTATATCATTTTTCTATATCTATTTACTATTTATTTATTTCTTGTATATTTTCTAATTTCTTCATTTTACTCTTTTTTTTATTTTCTCACAAGCTATCTTGTTCAGATAAAAAGAAATGTTAATCTTGAAAAAGTATCATTCTATGATAATGATAAATCATTGAAGATTAATAATTTATTATTTGCATTATGTGACAATTAAAAATTTATATATATCCATAGAAGTATATATATATAACGAGAAAAGGAAAAATCCGATAGATTGTAAAGTAATATTAATTGCTACTCTTTTATGTGCAGTGCTCTTAATAGATAAATAAAAAACCTGTTTAGATTAATTAAACTTAAATAGTGAGAAGTGATCCGCACATGTGGCGATTGAAACAATTGATACAATTGTGCCTTTATATTAAGACGCGAAAGAAAGACATGCTGCAAACGAATAGCATCACCAATAATCGTCGTTATTAAATCGTTTGCCATTTTCCTCTACTTCTTCTTTTTCCATTTATTTTTTCCAATAATAAGATTCGTATTGAATTAGATACACATATTTGACAGATTCTTTGGAATATTTGTATTAAATTTATCAATATTATAATATAAACAAAATATAAATTTTTTAAAATAAAATGTAAACAAGTCTTACATTCATTCTTCAAATTAAAAATTTAGATGCACTTCTATGGCGCGAGTTCAATGTATTAAATTATGTTATAATTAACAATAAAATCATATATTGTCACATAATACAAATAACAATATAATTAATATTTCTGCTAAAAAAATAAATTAGTTAGATTAGAAGTTAGATTAGTTAGATTAGTTAGATTAGAATATTCCGACTACGATACAATAAAAAATTTTCCGAATAATGCGAAGAAAATCATCATTCGATCAAACATTCGTAATACATTCGCACGCTCTTCTGAAACGACCTTTACATAAAATTATGAACCGTTAGATACGAAATATCATATGTGTGCATACGTTTTCCGCGTTTATATCTGCCTCAATATTACATTGATGGTACAAAAATAATCGAAGAAACGGCAGCTGCTATCTTTAAACTGGGCCATGAACGAGTAGAGACGATCTCGAGAACAATTTTCGAAATGTGCGGACAAGCGGTGCAAAACGAGTCCGAAACACCTGTCGATCGAACACGATCCAACGCGCATCAACGACGGGCAGTAACTGGCCACATGCTTTCAGCCGGCGCGACGCGACGCGACGCGCGATTCGATTCGGCTCGGCTCGGCTCGGCTCGGCTCGGCTCGACTTCGACTCGTCTCGTCACCTGATTTCGATCCGTTCCAGCGCAGCTAGATTCGCTTTGATGCATCGCGCACGAATAGGTAAGAAACCGAGGGGTCCCTTTCCTTTTTTTCCCTCCTTTTTTTCACCACTCGGAGGGATGGATCTCAATTTGTCAAAGTCGAACACGATTTTTCGTGTCACAGGCAAGAATATTCGAGTAAGTAAAACACGCAAAATAAAAAAAGAAAGTTTGATGCTTTTAGGTTACTCATTTTGAATATTGTTGCAATTCGCGATTTAATTGATCTGTGCAGTTTATCATGCATATTTATCATACATCGTTTATCAACGAGTCTATTATCCGTTATTTATTTCTTGAAAATAAGCGATAATTATAGGAATTTGAATTTATATTCGTAGCGATTGTTTTTCCGTCCCTTAATCTTAACGTAATGATTTTAGATTAGATTAATAATGCCCAAGCAGAAGTGATCGTCCGCTTTATACGCCCTGCATAGCTAAATCTATTTTTGGACGATCCGAGATAAGACTTATAAGGACCACGAGACTAGGAAACTCACAATAAAGCGCCGTTTAAAACGGCTCTGGATACGACATCGCTTTTTCTTCGAGTTTACGTATTAATTATATGTTCCGGTAATTGCCAGTACTACACAGAGAAAAATATTATTCTATTGCCAAGAAAAGATTACTCAGTTTATTTTTCTTCTTTTAAGGAAGTTTTCTTTAACAAAGAATATATTCTTGATAATTATCTTAAAATATACTCATCACAAGTGTTAGAAAATCTCATGTTTTAAATTATCATGTATTCAAAAGAAGAATTTATTTTTTTCTTCAAGAATATTGTAATGTTGTAAAGTTATATATTGTAAAATTGTAAATATTGTAAAGTTATATCAAAGAAAAATCAAATTTACTTTACATCAACTCTTGTAGTAAGCAAACCAAATTTTTGTTTTAATTTAATATTCTTGACTAAAATACTGCTCTTAAAATTCAGAATATATTCAATTACATTTAATTGAATATATTCTGCTTAAATTAATGCTTAAAATACTGCACTTAAAATTCAGAATATATTCAATTAAATTTAATGCTTGTGATAAACTTATGATATATTTGCGGACTATATACAAACTTATGATATACTTAAAATAAATAATATTTACTTGAATACAGTATACATTTTTCTCTGTGTAGGAAATAATAAAGCGCCGTTTAAAACAGCTCTTGATACGACATCGTTTTTTCTTCGAGTTTACGTATTAATTATATGTTCCAATAATTGCGAGTACTACACAGAGAAAAAAATTATTCTACCAAGAAAAGCGATTACTCAATTTATTTTTCTTCCTTTAAGTAAGTTTTCTTTAACAAAGAATATATTCTTGATAATAATCTTAAAATATTCTCATCACAAGTGTTAGAAAATCTCATTACCATGCACTCAAAAGAAGAATTTATTTTTTCTTCTTCAGAAGAATTTATTTTTTCTTCTTCTCTCAAGAATATTGTAAAGTTATATCAAAGAAAAATCAAACTTTATGTCAACTCTTGTAGCAAATCAAATTTTTGTTTTAATTTAATATTCTTGACTAAAATACTGCACTTATTAAAATTCAGAATATATTCAATTAAATTTAATGCTTGTGATAAACTTATGATATATTTGCGAATATACAAACTTATGATATACTTAAAATAAATAATATTTATTTGAATACAGTATACATTTTTCTCTGTGTAGGAAACACAATAAAGCGCCGTTTAAAACGGTTCTTGATCGCTTTTTCTTCGAGTTTACGTATTAATTATATGTTCCAGTAATTGCCAGTACTAGTATGTATATTGAAAATTATTCATGTATGTAATACGTATACATACTGATTCATATGATACTCCAATACGTTTAATCATTCATGTACGTTCATTCATGTTCTCATAATATACTTGTATAACATACTACTTGTTGAAGTGGAATGCGATGCGAAACAACCTCATTATCGATTTATCTTCGTGTCATCGACATCGTAGTTTTTGAGATATTTTTTGCACAACCTTCGAGGGGTCAGTCGAGCTTATGTCAATCTATATTTGATAATACACGAGGAAATCTAGTGAAATAATTAATTGCAAAAAATATATTTGGTAAAATAACGATCTTTTTTGTATTCTCAACTCAAATGCTAACAAGAATGTAGAGTATCAACTTTTTCCGATAAGATCGTATTTTCGCGATGAGGATAATTCGATAAATATGTATGTATAAAACAATTCTTTGTATTATTTGTTGTATTAATTGTATTATTTATAGATTCGCTGATTAATGATTTCGTTTCGACCTGTCATGTAAATAATGATTATTGAAATTATTTTTAAACCGGGTATATTTTTTCTACAAAGACAGATACTTATGAGCATGCTTATTTACTTATCTTAAATGTATTTTAGAACGAATATAGGAATCGCGTGTACAAAATGATAATTAGTAGTTCTAATCTCATACAGTCCAAGTGTGTCGTGGCGTGTCTGCTCGTATTTTCACTCCACCAAGAGAAGATATATCGGTCGCGTATAACACAAGGAATTTCTTTTTAATCGCTTAACAAAATTCCGATGCCGATCGTGAATCTTATCCTCTGCTGTATTTTCTTTGTGTTGCGCTTCTACCTGTCTAAGTATTCATGTTAGTATACTTTGATATTTCCACCTTAACGTATATATCTGTTTCAGCTTATCGTGCAAAGGAATGCAGTTTGAGTCGCTGGCAGATAAAAGCCGATTATTCGCATGCGACAGAGACGATAGTTAGATGCATGTTACCGGTCCAGCCGCTGCCGTCACCGTTGGAGGCCGACATCGCGGTCCGAGAACGAACCCGAAGGCTATTTATAGTAAGGAGCGGCTTCTAGTTCCCATCGCGTGAAAAATCGCGACTGGTTTCTTGCGAGTGCGAATGGAAAGAGAAAGAAAGATGGAAAGAATGGCTGGCGTTTCAAGCATGAGTCGCCGGCTGTACATTAGCGGCTCTTTGCGAACAGTTTGATGGAGCATCATCCGTAACCGCGGATTATTCAAACGGCAACTCTACAGGTGTGTGAAGGATACTGTGTATTTATCATTGTATCATATTGTTATATATTATTATATCATTATATATTATTATATATTATTATTTATTATATATTATTATATTTATTATATTTGACGATCAGTTATTTTACATTCTTATTATTTCGTGATTAATTTTACGCTTAATTTAATTTAATAGATGAATTTTGTGGTAATTTATTCACGATTAGTTTATATTATTTCTATTCAATTCTATTCAATTTTTTTAAAGAAAGATCATTCAGCTGTTCAAACTGTTAGCAACGCAATGATTGCGTCATTTTTTATTTATTTATAATTAATTTATATTCAATTATTTATAATATTTTTCTATTCAATTTTTTTTAAAGAAAGATTATTCCAAGATTACAGCTGTTCAAAAATGACTGCGTGTTAACAATTTGCTGATAGTCTGCGAATTCTCAAGGCGTTTGCTAAATGCTGTCATTTTTTTTCAGCACTTAACGTACATTTTGATAAACGTAACACGTCGCCAACAGGTTGTAAAATAGCATAAAGCCTTATCAGACAAATTTGCATATCTGCATAGTTTGCATTTTATGTACAAAAAAAATCGATTGATCTAGGTCGACTTTTGCTTAATGCGAAGAATGTTGTATTCCTGCATTATTAGATGCGTGGTTGGTTTATGTTTTTTATACTTACCTATGCAGGTATGCAAATTTATCTGAGAGAAAAATCTTAGCAGTTACAAGGCTGCTTTTTCTGTTGACAGTCAAAGGAGAGAGATGTGTTACGCTAGAAAAGTGGCGGGAAGAAGATGAAAGACCGGCAGTCATACTGTTGCTCTCTGCGATTGTCTGAACATACTGAATCATGAGAAAAGACAGGAACCAAACTGTCCCCTCTAGCTATTTCTGGAAAAAAAATTTGTGTCTCGTATTTTTTTATATTTGATATTGTCTATTGCATATATAATTGTAGGACAAAAACAAATAATTTATTTTTATAGAGAAGGATGTAGTCCTAGTTATTTATTTATGCGTGATATGATTTTTGATATCGACATGGAGAAAGTTATAATTTATGTGCTTAAAATACTTTCAGCAAATATAATTAATAGAAATTAAACGAATCGTCACAATTTGCAATTAAGAAATTCCTGATCTGGAAGATCAGTAAAATGACGTCCATAACGGAAAATGGATTAAAAATACGCGAGCCAGACGTTTATAATGTTAAAAAGACTACTATCCTTATATGTATATATATGTGTATATGCGTGCAAGGGCATTATGCTGTATCGTGTTCCCGCATCGGTCTCGCCTTGCATCGTCTGTAATCTCGCCACGAAGACACAAGGGAAGTATTCGTCCAGTCTTTCTCTCTATTCCTTCTCAGTATCGAACGTGTAGCTATGCCGTTTTAGAGCGTGTGAAAAATAAACTAGTGTGTAATATCTTTCCTAGTAATATAAAACAACAACAAATTTCAATACTTATTGTTGCATAAGAATAATTTAAGTTTTATTGTTTATTTTTTTAGTTTTGGAAAATGATGCAGAAGAGAAAATAGACACTAAATATATGCTATATTTTTTCAGCCAATTTCAATTATATTTTTTTCTCGATTCATATTCATACTTTATCAATAGAAAATTTTATCATGAATGATGATTTTTATTTGGAAATAATTATCAATAATTATTTCCAAATAAAATATAATTATCAATAATTATTTCCAAATAAAAATCATCATTCATGTATTATACATCACGCAATAAGCTATTTTCTCATTATGATTATGGTGGAAACTCACATTGCTAATTTGCAGACAAACGGTATATTCCGCTACTTTACAGTTTTATGCGTAAGTGGTTCTCTTACATAAGAAATATAAGAATTTAAAGCCAAAATATGCGCATGGAATACACAGTTTGTCTGCAATATTATGTCTGCAAATATTATCTTATTGCGTATTTATCATGTCGTATATATTTTTAAATATTGCAAATTTACGTTTATTTATGCAAACTTGTATTTCGTGAATCTTGAGTCTTTAAAAATTCTAGGTATGAAAATTTATTATCACTCATTATTTGTTTTATTAGTACAAATTTTTTTTATTATTTATCCTGTCGAAGGGAAGCTTAACAAAGTATGTAACTCAAAATCTCTAGAAACAAATTATGTTGTTTCATTTTTGTTAAAATAAGCGGTCGAATTATCCTACTTAACGTATGAAAAAGATTACGATATAGATTTAAAATGTTTAGCGCCAAATATGAATAACAGCGTTCATTGATAAATATTGCCGAGTCACTATTACCACCTATTTTTAGTTGACAAGTTCCGTAACCGTTGTACATGCAAAAAAAGAATAAGTCCTTGGAATTATTTTCCAATGTATTATCATGCACAATAGAGTATCGTGCATAACTTCCTCCGACAACTTCCGTCAAAATAAATACATAATCCAATAAATATATAATCCAATGCAATGAGATATATATTGTGATTTCTTTCATTCAGGTAACTTCGATCGACGAACATTGAGACAAAGCGAAGAGAGAGAGTCTTTTAACGAGTCGGATTCAAGGAATCAGATAATGAAACAACCCCGCCGAGTATCACTCAGTAATCCAACCGCAGCGAGGGTCACGATACCCACCACTCGCGTTAATCACCGATAAATCATGTGAGTGGTGCAAATCGAGAGGCGATCACTACATGGTCGACGAACGCGCGATGTTACGATGGCATTCGCATTGTAATTGAATTTAAAGAAGGAACGAGACGATGAAGATGCTGATGTAATTACCCGTTCGATGATCCCGCGTTCCTACGATCGATCATGGAATGTCGATCTGTAAACGGCGGGATTTTATCAACGATTCGCCAAGCGCCAGCTTCCGATGTAGCAACTTGTAGGATGCCGGCCGGTCGCTGATGGTCGCTCTTGTAGCACTGCCAATCGATAACTTTCGTCGAAGGAGAGGCTTTGCGATACTAGGCGCGACAATACGTATACTCTACACGTCCGTTTCGATTAAATCGCGCGTTCACCTTTCTCTCTTGCCATCGGAATGAGAATTTAGGGGGAACGCGTGGGATTACCGACGCGCAGACACGTGTACTCTGTGCGACTCACGAGGAGTCCAAGTTTGCGCCAGCTAGCACCAGCACCAGCACCAGCGCGATATCGGAGCAGCGTCGTCGGGGAGCCGGGGGGAGAGACTCTCTCGGCGCCGGCGCCAAAGTCGTGGCTGAAAACCCAAATGGATAGCCTCGTGCAATCGCCACCGGGTGGCAGGTCCATGTGGAGCGTTATCGATGACTCTTCTCGCTTCTTTTCAAATTTAAATGAATAATCGTCCCTTGGGCTCCCTTTATCTCTCGCCTTTCGGCGACGAATCCTTCAATGAGGCTAAATCTAAGGCTCGTGATGAACTTTGACCTTGTTTATACGTACGTCATTTTTTCATATCTTAGAGCTTGGACCTTTTCCGCTTCACTTGTTTGAATTGATACGTTTCTCACATCAATCGTATGTACTACTGAAAGCGATAAGCGTTATTCGCGATTGGATTATGCGACATTAAAGAGTTCCGTCATTGCGAATTGCGGCTCGCCACTTATTACTACGTCACTTGTGGCGCGTGTTCACATCTCGTGTTATTGCATCATACATGTGCCATTTACGAGAAGAGCTTGTAGTATTTATAATCATAGATACGCTATATATATGCGTGTATGTACAATAAGAAAATGTAAAGGTTTTTTAAATTTCCATTTACGTCGACAATAATAATTTCGAAACATGTATTTTTGATATTATGATTCGTGTTGATCAATTGAAATTGTTATATAATTATTTGATTTAATTCATATCAATAAAGTTTTATGCGTCAGGTTCATATGAATTTTATCAGTAGAATTTTATCAGCCACGTCAGTTCACTCAAAGTACTTATCGTCAATTTTTAATATATGTAAACGTCTGCTTATCACGCGTTGATTCATGTGACTAATCGTTGTAAAATTTATACATTTTTGACGCAACCATATCGATGGAATTTCGAAATCGTGAGGTATTTAAGTGAATTTGACTCTGCAAAGAGAATCATTATAACTTTCTTCGTACATTATTAAGTACGGAGATTCGCGGTAAAGAAGACAACTCGTCAAAAATCTTCACTGCATATGAAAAGACTCATTAGATAATTTACAAGTAATGCAAACAGCCACGCACTTTCACGAAAGCTTGCGTAAGCTTCCGAAAACGATCTGCGCCGGTTCGCAAAATGTTGGCGCGAGTTTAACTGTCGATGATACGCGGATTTACAATTTCCAGCTTGTACATGTGTATGCGTACATGTGTGCATGATTGGAATATCTACCAAGGACGTGTGACCCTCTTCCTCTTCCTCTCTCTCTTCCTCCCTGGCTACTCGTAATTTGATATTCGTTTATTACCACCCGTCGTCTCTAGTCGCCTTCAAGTCGCCTAAAAGCTTAATTCCCATCAACGCACTTATTCTTGAACTACTCATGTTTCACTGAAAGCGTACTTAATATTTTCGTATGTTTATCCATTGATGGAGGCGAAGGAACAAAAAAATCGACGAAAATTGCTAACGAAAGCTATAAATTGTAATTTACGTTGAAATGTTTCTCTGAAAAAAAGGAAATGTTACATGGTTTTAATTTTAAAATTTAAAGTTACTTAAATGAAACTTCGACAATCATTGTAATTTGCAAAATTTACTTTCACAATTATCATATTCCATAAAACACTCGACTTACGTATCCCCGTTGTTCAATTAAATACATTCTTAACATGATAAATATATAAAAGGATATGCTTCCGGTAACTTTGATCGTTCGGGGTTGTGTAGCTGCAAATCTTTCGCACATGGAACCAACGGATCTTTGTCGAGGATCATAGAATCAGTCTCGGAGGCGGGATATCGATTCTCGCCGAAGAGTTCCGAGAGGTGCCGAGCTCGTGAAAGTGACGTACACGAGTAAGTGCACGAGCAGTGGTGAAGCTGGGTGAAGCTGATTGTGGTCAGTGGTGATTCGCTTGTGTGGATTGACTCCAAGCAGACTTTGACGTGTTTCCCGATCGACGTGTCGCGGACTTTTCGCAATTTTCTTGTCCCGTTTTTCCGCGGGGGAAGGGAAAAAAAGCTCGACCTCATAAGATCCGCGCTCGGCTGACGATTGACAGTTGACGCCAGGACGATACATTGTGCATATACCTTAGGTAGACATAAGACAATAGACAATTATAGACGATGCACGACGATGAACTACGACGGTAAACGATGGATGGCACGTCGTCGTAAGCCACGATAGGCGATACACGTCTGGTGGGCGGCACGATCGGTGATGATTCGCGAATTGTGCGATAAAAATATGCATACGTACAGTCTGTCAAGTAAGAGCATGGTCGGGTTAATTTATAAAAAAAATTATTAAATACAATTTTTAAATACATGTGTACGTTGTACTCGATGAGAACAAGGATGCAATTATGTCAATAATGCGTCCAATCACCACCGGCGTCGATAATTGCCTGGCATTTCCGAGGCATGTTTTCGACCAAATTGACGGCGTATTCTAGCGGCAAGGACCTCCAAATCCGACGAATCTTCCAAGATAACTGCTTCAAAGTGTACGTGCGTTTTCCACGAAGCTTCTGCTTAATGTATACCCACATATTTTCGATGGGATTTGCATCGGGCGATTGCGACGGCCAATCCAATGTAACGATGTCAGATTGCTTCTTCCACTCGGTACAGAGTTTGCTGTGGTGTTTAGGATTGTTGTCCTGCAGAATCCAATCCTCATTTTTATCGATGAACCAACGTTTGGCACACGGTAACAGAGCCTTCTTGTAGATTTCCAGCATTTTCTCGGCATTCAGATTGTTGGTAAACAGGTGCAAAGTACCCCTGCTTTGAGAAGCAGCCCCAAAGATGCATCCTTACTCTGTATTTTACGATCCTCTGGACAAGCCTACTGGAGGAGGGTGACCAGGCTCGCGTGAGGATACAAGGTGCCCATATAGAATATTCACCAGTAAAAATTACATCGCTAAAATCACGATCGATGTTCTCGTGCGAGTCGCTTCGTCACATGTTCTTCGGTCAACAGAGATTTCTTCATTGTGTCGTGCCATTTCAAGTCATGAGCAGGAGATGGGTTCGGATAGTTTGGTATATCTGTCTTAGACGTCTATTCGACTTGTCATTTCTCCCTGGGCAAGCAAAATTAAAGTCAAAAGGTTTAGATATATCGTATAGATAAGACGTCTAATAGATGTCTAATAGATGTCTAATACATCTATTAGACATCTATTAGACGTCTTAGACGTCTATTCGACTTGTCATTTCTCCCTGGGTGTTCTTGACGCAGTGTTAAAGCAGGATTTCGCGAAAACAGATTCACTATTCTTTCTTCATCTCCTTTATCCAATTTTCCTATCGAGCCACGTTTCGGTAAATTATCGACATTTTTTGCCACATTATATCGCTACGAATGCCTTCGACTTTTTCATGTATTTAGCAGCCGCTGATTGCGACAATTTCCCAGACAGCACAAAAAGGTCAAAAGATGTCTTAAAGATGTCTTAAAGATGTCTAAAGGACTTTAAGACATCTCTAAGTCGTCTTTTAGATGTCTTTTGAACATGTGCTGTCTGGGTTCGGACCTTTCGGGTGGGTGCAAAGGAACATAGCCTCGTAGACGCATATTTCCCAGACAACACACATGTCCAAAAGACATCTAAAAGACGACTTAAAGACGTCTTAAAGTCCTCTAGACGTCTTTAAGACATCTTTTGGCCTTTTTGTGCTGTCTGGGTTGGCACTCATGATGCTTTTCTCTTTCAAAAAATCAACAATCGAATCTTTCTTGGCGGTACATCAAGGACAAAGTTTCCCTCTATCGGCTCAGGAGAGATTTAGGGCGACCTTTTACCAGCTGCGAGTAAGACCGACCACGCTTTTACTTGACAGACTGTACGTAGGTCATGAGTCCCATTCGAGATTGATCCAGTAGCGCGTCTCGCGAGCACCCGTGCCCTTTCGACGCGAGACTACCCTTTTCAACGTGCAAACCTGCGTTCAAATTTTTTTAAAAATTAATCTTACTTATTTTATCGTTCGTAGAGCGTTAGATTATTCGAGCGTGAAATGAACGACGGGGTTCAATTGATATAACCACCTTTATATACGTTTTCGACGATTTCCCTATTAACAGATAGATCTCGTAAAGTCTCGAAGATCGATCACCGTGACCTAACATAATCTAACCTTGAAGGCGTAAACTCACCGCGACTCGACCACCGAACACGAGATTCTAATCAGCCCTAATTCTAACGAGTATCGTCTCGAGTATCGCACAAGCGGACGTCAATCTTCCAAAATGGTTACTCCACAAACTCCAGGTGAATTTGATTTTTCTTCCCTATCATTAGCGGTACATTGACGTCTTCCTGCATCTGTCATTGTCCGATAGGCCACACGTATTGTGTTATCTTTTATGTCATCTGTAATGCACATCATGCTTGATATATCTCTTCCTCTTCGCGATAATTATCTTTTTTTTTTGTAAGACTAGCAATTATTCTTTTCTCTTTGTAAGACTAGCAATTATTCTTTTCTCAGTAGTGAGAGAATAGACTGACATTGTATTTTCGCAAATAAATGGATTTTATTTTTAATTAATAAGGAAGTTATTATCTCCAGTGTGTTACATATGTATTTGATATGTAGGTATAGACCCCTGGGTAATTCAGCCTAGAGAGAGAATGAAATATCAAGAACAATTTGATTCCTTGAAACCACTCAATGGAGTTGTTACTGGTGAACAGGCAAAGGGATTCCTCCTTAGATCTCAACTTCCACCTCCCATTCTTGGACAGATATGGTAAAGTTACTGTTTAGTATAAAAAATATTTCAAATTATAACATATTTCTCTTCTAACTAATTTTCTTTTGTATTATATAGGGCATTATCGGATACAGATTCAGATGGAAAAATGGATATAAATGAATTCAGTATTGCTTGCAAGTTGATCAATTTGAAATTACGTGGTTTTGAAATTCCTAAAGTATTGCCACCTATTCTCATACAGAGTTTGAAATCTTTTCCAACAGGTAGTTATATACATGTGTGCATATAATATGTGAGATTATATCATTAGATTGTTTGCGATTGAGATTAATGAATGATTTTAGGTGATGCTAACTTGGTTGGATTGACAAACGGTTCAACCGCTCAAAATAATATTGGCTCTCTAGTAAACTTAAGTGGACCTCAACCAATGGTATCTCAAACTGTGGCAAGTGCAATACCTACAGCGGGAAATACACATCCTCTTATAGGTAATATATGATTATACGTTTTTTATTCTTTTCTGTCTCTCAATTGACATGGTTAGATAGAATTTTATGTTTAATTTCTTAAATAGCAGAAAGATTTTATAAAAATTTCTAAAAGCATCTATAAGAGAGTACCCAAATATATATCTTTTGTCAAATATATTAGCGTGGTTTGTTAGGTTCATATAAAATCAAATATATCAAACATGATTACAATATCACTGATATCCAAACAAACCTATATTACAATCATCTATCATTTCACAATTAAATTCAACATGTATTATGTCTCAATATGTTGAATATGTATTACGTCTCAATATGTGTTATCTTATCAACAAAATCAAACATAATTATATGTTACTCATAATTCATCATACTACACAGCATTACAACAAAATAGACAGAATGTGGCTCCAAGTACACACGCCACAACTCATATACCGTCTAAGCCACCCGCTCGACCCGCTCCACCTTCTGTGGGTATGTTAACTGTGCTGAATGCTGTTTCTTATGGGTCAATTTATCTTCTTTTTCTTAAAGAGCAGCTTTTATTCAATGGCTTAACAGAGTGTTCTGAGTTAAATTTCGAATCATTTTAGTGTTGTTGACATTTTATTAATAATAAAATATAATAATATAAGATAAACTTTCTCTTTAGCTTGTTGTATTTGCTACTTTTTCAATATACCATTTGGAATGTTTTAAATATATTATGTATATTTTTATTTAAGAGAATATGATTTTATGAGACTATGATTTTTTTGTGTATATATCTATAATGTGTGTGTATGTGTGTGTATGAAGCACAGATGCTTCACAGAGAGTTTATCATTTTGATACAAAAATATCCAAAATTTATGTAACACTTTATATCGCAACAGCAATTCAGTTTTTGCACAGAGGCTGTGAAAATTTTTTATCTTTCTAATACTTACTTTGCATTACAATTGTAGGTATGTGTTGGACTTTGCGATAAAATATTTGATAGAAATATGAAAAAAGAAACTTATATATGCATTAATTATTAGATACTTTTAATATTTATTTTTATTTCGCATGTTTTGATATTTTTCATATATTGGAAAAATTTCCAAATGCTTGAACATAGAAATAAATATGATTAAATGTGTGAATACAATTCAGGATATTATTTATATATAAATTAGAAAATTTCTAACATTATTTATTCTAAATTAGAAATTCTGATTATGTAATAAAGTTATTTTACTAATTACTTACATATACTTTATGCAACTAATATTTATATATCATTTATATATTTATATATTTGTAATAATATTTCTGACAAAAGGAAGAAAAAAGAATATTTCATTAATAATGCTTTGCATTTTACGCGGCAAAATAAAAAGGAGTCGCGCCTTCTGTCAATACCACAACTGGTGGTCCTCCGCAAAGACCTGCACCACCTGCAAATATTGGTATGTTTAAATAAATACATACCCAATATATTACAAGCCCAATATGTATGCAGAGATTGTATACAAAGTATAGTTTTGTTATACTGAAATTTGTTGCATCGCTTAATTAACATATTGTCAAAAAAGCATAAAATACTTATACAATATTTTTGCTCATGCTTATTCAGCTGCCTTGTTTTTTATTATTATTGTACAATTTATCAAGTAAAAAATATTATTTGCATTATAGATTTATAACTATCTGATACAATTTAACAATGTAATAATAATCACACGAAATTATTGTAGGTAGTAACTTTGCAGCCACAACAAGTGGTCCACCACCAAAACCAGCACCACCATCATTTCCAAATAGTCCTGTAGGAATCTCACCCATAAAAGTTCCACCTTCTGTTGTTGGCACATCGGTAGTTTCTTCAATTCCACCTGTTTCTGGCATAGGTAAAAAATAAAAATCAACTTTATATCAACATTGAGTACATTTTAAAATAGCTTATCGATTAATTTTTTATATAATAATGCAGTTATATAATTATAGTTTTACAGAATTATATTGGTATATATTTAATTTTTATTTATAATATTTTTATTAATTATAGGTATTCCATCAGTAGCACCAATTGCACCTTTAAACACAAACCCTGTGCCAATGGCTGCCTTTAATATGACACAACCATTGCCAACACAGCCATTAGGCATAGTTAACACAGGTATGGTTGCTCCTATGCCTGGCGTCTCTAGTATGGTACCATCCATCGGATCAATAAATACCGGTACATATATAAAATGCCTTCTCTCTTGTATTTGTTTTTATTATAGTATTAATTTTTATTTTCTCGCACAGGTACTGGAGTTGCTTCATCGGTAGTATTACCATTGGTATCCTCAACAACTGCAAACGGCGCTTTAGTCAACGGTGCCATTACGCAAACGCCGGTATCTACAAATACACCCTTGAGTACAACAGCACGTCCACCGAGTATAGATAGAGTAGGTTCTGTGGATTCACAGCACTCGTTAGTTGGTTCGCCGCAATCTATAGAATGGGCGGTGCCACATCAAACTAAATTAAAGTACACTCAATTATTTAATACTTGGGATAGAACGAGATCTGGTTTTCTATCCGGGCCTCAAGCAAGAAACATCATGGTGCAATCGCAATTGCCACAACCGATACTTGCTCGAATATGGTATAGTAGCAAACTATTTTATTGTCAAATAAATGCAAAGGAGTATTCAATATAAATAATAAAACGGGGCAGTAAAAAAGAGTTTAAATATATGTTAATAGGGCTTTATCTGATATGGATTCGGATGGACGTTTAGGTTCTGAGGAATTTGTACTAGCAATGCATCTTTGCGACATTGCTAAAGCTGGCGAAACGATACCTACGACACTTCCACTTGAACTTATTCCACCCACATTTAGACGACAACGTCAAAGTAGCTTAACATTATCTCAGAATGCAACGGAAAATATTGATCCATTAGCGGGCATGCCACAGGTTTGTAGCTAATAATATAAAAATTTTTTATACAAAAAGAAAAACAAATGGAAAAAAGTAATATTATTTTACAGACTTCATTCGAAGATAAACGTAAAGAGAACTTTGAGAAAGGTCAAGCGGAATTGGAACGTAGGCGTAAAGCGTTGTTAGAAATTCAGCGAAAAGAACAAGAAGAGCGGGAACGAAAAGAAAGAGAAGAAGCTGAGAAACAGGAAAAAATAAGGCAAGTAGAATCATTTATTAATTAGATGCATAATATATAGAAAATGTTGCGTTTTGCGATACAGATTAGAACAAGAAAGGCGTAGACAAGCGGAAATCGAGAAACAAATGCAAAGGCAAAAAGAAATTGAACAGGAGAAAGAGGAACAACGTAAACGCGCGCAAGAACAGAAAGAGGCAGCACGCAAGTAAATTCATTAACATATGATTTTATCAGAAATTATATCCATACAGATTTGAAAGTAGCATTGTATTTTATAATGTATAGGGAAATGGAAAGACAACGACAGTTAGAATGGGAACGACAGAAGTCGCAAGAATTGCAAGCACAAAGACAAAAAGAACAAGATGTTCTTCTCAAGTTGAAAGCAAAGAATCAGACCTTAACTATTGAACTTGGAACACTTGTAAGTATAAAAGAGAAAGAGAAATTAAAGAAGAGAAAGAGAAATTAATGAACAATCTTTTCGTAATATTTTTTTCTGTTTTCCAGAATGACAAAGTAAAAGAATTATCGCAAAAAATTTGTGATACTCGAGTAGGAGTCTCAGGTGTTAAGACGACTATTGATGGTATGCGATCAACGAGAGATGCGCAATTACAGGAAATGGCCGCCTTAAAGAATAAACTTCGGGAACAAAATCAAAGATTATTAGCATTGAGTCAGGAGAAAGCGCGTATCGAGGCGAAAAATAAACTCAATGCGGCGCAAGATGCTGCCGGACAAGAGGCTGTTAAGATGGCCTTTGACAATAAACAAATTACTCTTAAGCAGATGAAAGATAAAATTGCAGATTTACAACAGCAGGTATATGTACCTCTAATGTTCATTGATTATACATAAATAAATTTTAACTTTATGATGATTTATATCGATGTTTGACCTCAAAACGTCTATATCTTTTTCAACAGATCGATTCGAAAATGTCCGATATTGAAAATAATAATGCTCAACTTGAAGAGATTAAGACGCAAATAAAAGATCTAATAGCAGACTGTAAACAGCTTTACATTAATTTTGATGACAAGAAGAAAAAAGTACTTGAACTTCGAGCAAGCGGCAGCAGCGTCTCGGCCGCTGACTTTGCCACATCCGCATGGGGCGATAGCGCATGGAGCAATGCACCTAGTATAGCTAGTGACGCAGCTTGGCCTGTTGACGATACCACTACGGTGAACTCGACAAATGAAGCTGATGTCGTGGGTGTTCGCAAATATAGAGCACTTTACGAATTTGTGGCGCGAAATCAAGACGAAATATCATTTCAACCTGGTGATATTATATCAGTATGTATAATAAATACAAGAGTGTCATTGTTGTCGGAAAACTGAATGCATACAATATTTAATATGATGTAAATTATAGGTACCACCTGTGCAAAACGCTGAACCAGGATGGATGGCAGGAGAAATTCGCGGTCACACCGGTTGGTTTCCCGAATCTTACGTGGAACCAGTGGATACCGGTACAATTAGTTTGGATAATGAACGTACCTTCATACAACAAGACAGCGTAGAGAAGAGAACATTAGAGTCAGTTGTATTTTTATTTATATTAATATTTGCAAAATATAAATCAATATTTCTTTGTGTATCTCTCATGAGTATCAGAATATTTTTATTTTAATTAACAGAGAAATAGCAGAAGTCCCCGAGAACGTATCCGACGCGGGATCATTAGGTGGAGAAGCCCCGATAGTGGAAGCTATTATACCTACTTTAGGATTAGGTACATCTTGCCACATAGAAGCTACCGCATTATTTCCATATCGACCTACTATGGAGCAACATCTTTCTTTTGAAAAAGGAGAAACCATTTATGTTTCTGAGCAGCAGGTTATTAAATATGTATATTATACTATTGATTACACAGAAATGTGTGTATGTCTCACAAAATATATATTTTTCATTATTTTATTCAGGCTGATTGGTGGTATGGCTCGACTAGTAATGAAAATAAGGGTTGGTTCCCTAAATCATATGTAAAAGAGATAATTACAAGCAACAAAGATGTCGCAACTGATGGTCTCAACGAATATTATGTTGCACTTTATCGATACGACTCGACTGAAGCCGGCGATCTTAGTTTCAATCAAGGGGAAGTTATATTGGTTATTAAGAAGGAAGGAGATTGGTGGACTGGTTGTGTAGGGGATAAGACTGGGATTTTTCCATCTAATTATGTGGAAAAGTGCGATGCTCCTAATCAGGTACGTTATATATCTTTCGTTAATATTTTCCTCCTGGTTATTTCGTAATCTTTTCGATTATTATATAAATATAACTTATTAATTGATTAATCAGAGTGTTGTGTGGCATTAATCAAAGTGTGTCTTTATCCATTAACATTCAGTCTAGTGTAACTGCTCCAGAGACAAAAAGTACCGAAGATGTTATTCCAATAACCGCAGCATCACAAGTGCGTAATTGTTTATTTTATAATTGTTTATTTTAAATTATTTATCTCAATTTATATTCTTAATTATATTAATACATGTTAGTTTCAATTGACTTTTGTAATTTTATTAATTTGTAATTTTATTAATTTTATTAATTTGTTATTATTCTACTGATATCTGATAAAATATAAGATTGCAGTGACAAAGTTCAGTAACATAGAACGTATGTGTGTGTGTGTGTGTGTATTTAACAGGTAGAGAAAACAGCAGAACAATTGGAAGATGAAAGAGCAGCTGCTGAGGATAGAGCGGAATTACCGGACTTTACTGCCATGGCTGCTCAGCAGGTAAAAAAATTAATCACGTTCTTATTCTCTAATATACTTATACAATTAAAAATTTTTTTATTATAATTGTGTTTATTACTTCTTTTATGCTACTGACATCTTGGTAATGCAGTATTATAAGGTATTGGATTTATATTATTAAATATGATCGACATTTTCAATGATTGTGATGTGTGACACTGATTTCTCTCTTTATTTCCAATTGCAAACAGTTTCTTAATATATGTAAAGAAATTAATTTTACTCATTCACGAAAAAAAATTTTTTTCTCTTTAGAGAGGAGGAAGGAAACCAGAAATTGTCCAAGTTATTGCACCATATCAAGCAACTAGTGCAGAACAATTAGACTTGCAAAGAGGACAATTAATAATGATTCGTAAGAAAACTGATAGCGGATGGTGGGAAGGAGAGCTTCAGGTAGAGAAATAAATTTTTTTTAACATTTAATCCTTTATTGTCGAATAATAACACTTGTTTATTTAGGCACGAGGTAAAAGGAGACAAGTTGGTTGGTTCCCAGCAACATATGTTAAACCTTTAACCAGTAGCAGTAATAGAAGTACACCTGTCTCTCATGGATATCAAGATTCTCCAACAGATCCAAATATTGGTGAGTAAATTCTACAATGCAATTACTATAATTTTCAAGATTATATGTGATAAGGATAATATATGTAGGTTTTCTTGGACAAAATTGAACTCGTAGCATAACTTTTTATTTGCAGAACGCGTTATGGCCCTTTATCCTTACCAAGCACAAAATGAGGATGAGTTAAGCTTTGAGAAAGGCGATGTTATATCAGTACTTGCTAAGGAAGAAACCGCATGGTGGAGAGGAGAATTGAATGGCGTATCCGGTGTCTTCCCAAGCAACTACGTATCACCTATGTGTAAGTATTCTTTCCATATGTGATTGTCAAAGTTTAATCTTCAGCTCACTTTGCCTGTTAATTTCATAACGTTTATAATGTAATATGAACACAATTATGTGAATTTGTAATACATTTCTACACACATCGATTACACGCGTATAGATACTAAAAAAAGTAATGAACAAATAAAATAGAGAAGAGAATAGAAATGCGAAACACAACTTCTGGCTATGGATAGGCGGACGATCGATTAGATGTAACAAGTTCTAATCGAGACGATTATATATTTATATTTATCTTTATTGTCATCTTAGATTATTATTATCATTTTTATTATTATCAGCACACCATCTCCATTATCATTGATATCATTATTTTTTTTATTATGATTGTTATTTTTATTATTGTTGTGATATTAATATTGTTATTATATTATTTTATTATGTTATGCCTTATCTTTGCTTATTCTGCGTTTAACTATTCAGTGACTCGCAAAATGAGCCAAGATGGAGTTTATTATTGTAATTATTAATCAGTAATATCAATATTATTATAGTTAGTTATAGTTTATAAGAAAGAATGTTAAAGTATGATGTAGCACATTTTTATTTTCTTATGAATTAATATATACATTGTTATGATAACTCCGAGTGATAGCAGCAGCATCTTTTATAATGATGTTCACATAGAGCAAGAATATATTTTTTCATCAATTATAAATATCTTTTGTTTAATTATATCATCGGAATGATTTTTTTAATGTAAGTATTTTACAATTAAAGTAAGATAAATGATATTTTTTTTGCTATTTTGAAAAAATGTTTGTGTAAAAGCAATGTGTTGTCGTCATATAAAGTCTGTTCTGTAAAAACTGGCAATATTAATTTCATTTTTCTATCTAATGTAGATATATGCATTGTGTATGGCTTGGTTACTGGTATGTCACAAGCATATAGAGATCACTCACATACTTTTTGCTTATATGGTTTACATTAGAAGTAAAAATAAAAATAGATGCAAATTTCAAATATTTTCTTAAGTTTCTACAAACAGTCTGCTTGTCTGCCTTTTGCCTGTCTGCCCATTCGTTCGTCCGTCTATTTTTTCGTCAGAGGTAGTCGTTTGCTTGATAATAACAAATAATAACTAATCGAGAGTATTGTCTTATGATTTTATTATTTATATCTAACATAACTGTAAATTATTGTTATATTTTATAATTAATCTTTATTAAAATGTTTTCTCTAAAATGTTCTCTAGTATCTATTATATTTTCAACAGAATATGTTGGAATAGTACAAGTAATAATAATTTTTCATAGAGTTTTTGTTCTATTTGCAAATTTCCAATATCTTATTATTTTACATATACACATTCAATAATTGCAAGAAGTTATATAAAAAGAAAAAATAGAAATTTTATATAATTCTATGATTTTAAGTCATAATCTTAAAATTAAAAGAAATGTTTTAAAGAGACAGCTGCCTCGATTATTTCTCTTATTAGTCTTATTATATATGCATTCTATAATCTTCTTTTTATTAATTATTATCTTTCGCTTTTGCTTAACATGCAGCATAAAGGGTAGCCGAGCAGCAGTACTGATTAATCAGCATTGCTGGTTAAAATTAAAGCACCTGAAGTGTAATAAGAAAAATAGCAGCTCCAACTCAGCATGGCGTGCTACAACAACAGAACTTTCTCAACGTGGAGACAATGTGCATAAAAAAAAGACTAAAGTGAGAGGTGTTGGGAATAGAGACAGAGAAACGGAGGAGAAAAAAGAGAGAAAGAAAAACGAGACTTGAAGAATTAATGAGATTAAAGGCAGGAGAAAAAAACTCACGGTTGATTCTTCGTTTCTCTTCATTTCTCTCTTTATATATATATATATATATATATATATATATATTTATATATATATATATATATATATATATATATATATATACACATATCCTCCTACTTATTATACATATTATTACAAGCCTTTCCCTCTGGTGCGGGGTTGTGCACTCATTCCTTCATTAATGTTATCATTCAAATTGTTATTACAACGACTAAATCGCAACATACTAGCCTTTTAACTGTTTTACATCTTCAAACGGTTTTCATGCAAATATTATGTTCGTTGTATAGGGACAACGCGCGCATGTACCAAGTCCGATTGTTGAGTCATTTCATTAGTGTTACGCGACCACCTGATATATCTGCACCAACACCAAAGGTCTACCTCAGTTCTCTATCTATGCTGACGTACAATTAAGAAATAACAATATTAAATTTTAGCTTGTTCAAACACGTTAGAAATATATTTAACATTGTGTCATGGTAAGAGTACCATTGTTACTTAATAATTAAGTCATTTGTTAAGTTCGTGTTCATGTGCAAATTGATATATGTATAGTTCAATTATATTTCAAAGCTTTATTTAAGAAACTTGGTGTATAAGAACATTAAACTATAACATGTTTTAAATATAAAAAAGAAAAATACAAATGTTTTCCGAATTGTTTCCGAGTCGTTTTTCGTTTTTGAATATTTCGGTGGTCGACCAAAATTTATGTAGGCAATTTAATTCGATCTTCTTTTGGAAATTAAGGATTATTACTATTGTTTCCTTTATGGTGTAATGTTTGAGTTAATCACAGTTGTGTAAAATAGAAGTGACCGTTGAAAAAAGCTATGATTATTGCATTATGTTTTATCCTTTATCAATGTTAATGTATGGTGCGCATTGTGGATCATTAAAAATTGCGATTGTCTCATGTCGAGGCCTAAATGATATATAAAAGATAACAATCTCATGATCGAGCAGCCAACGATTAGCTGTTGCGATTGAAAACGGAGAGGAGAAGGAGCAAAGAGAAATATCCCATATAATTTTATTCGATGTTTAATTTCGTGTTCGATTTGTTACATTTATGAATATTAATAAAATTAGCAAACATGATATTATATGCACTGAATATTTGTTCTCATTTGTATATAAATTTCATGAAAGAAAAAATCAGAGTAAACTAAATCAATGCGTTGACTTATTTATTTGCTCTAAATTTATTAATTTGATCACTCGACTTCTAATCATTTATTATATATAAATAATACTTTGTATTATGAATAAAGAATGCGCTCCTTCTTCATAGCCTTTTAAAATAGAGCCTAAATAAATAACAATCGTACATGAACAATAAATCGCTAATAACGAGATAAAAATAGATCATATGATTCTTAAGTAATTATTGTAAATTAATTTTTCATTGAATCATAACATTCCTATATATGTATCAATCGACTGACTATATTATTTATTTCTTGGATTGTAATCAGCAATCAGATGGCAATCTTGTTCGTATAATATATTGTATAATTACAGCGCTTCGTTGCAAAGAATTTATTATGTTAAATGATATATATATATGAAAATGTTTATTGTTCCATAAAAAAATATCTTTGAAAGGATCACATTAGAATCTATTGACATATCTTGACACCGAGTTCAGTATATACACACGCAGTTATGAAGCTTTGACATACAGCGTATGTTAAGAATAATTTTAACATTCGATGAACGTTCAACGAATGTTTGCAAAAGTATGCGTTAGTTTGTAGCTTCTTTAGAAACTCCTCGAACTTCCAGCCGTAAAATCATCTAGAAAGGCAAGGATGGTACCAGCAAATGATTCCATATACTGAAGAAAAATCAAGCGCACAACGTATTTATTCATTGCTACGCTACTTTTACGCGTTCTATGTAATCTCCTCCATGACAGAAGTGAGTAAATACGTTATATCACAGTGGCAATAATTGTGTGCTTATAATAATTAGATATTCCAAGACATCAAGTCCCTCGAGCATAAAGTTATTCTAAGGTGACGGCGGGATGTCTAAAGCAAGTTGTGCAACTGGTTATCTTTAGTCGATGTAGTCGTGTAGTGCGTTGTATTCCTAAGATTGTTACTATTTGTAAGTTGTTTGTTTATTCTAATATCGAGTCTCGTCGGAAATTTCAACTAAGTACGATGTGATTTGGCATAGTGGAAAATGTAAGAGAATATGAATAATTCTATGTGAGACTTATACAAAAAAAAGTCCTGTTCACATACTTTATATACATATAGAAATATTATATAAATTATGTTTCCACACATACATATACACACACATACGCATATGTACGCCAATGTTCTTATACGTATGTAAACATATCCATATATATATATACGGATACGTTCGCATCTATATCACCGCTGATCGAAATAAAATATCTGTCTGTTGTAAAAATTATTCTTGTGTAGACGAATCATATATTTATTTGATATTATTGTTTATAATAATAATTTTAACTTATCGATATTATTTTGATATGCAATATATTCTCTTTTTTTTTAAGTTTTTGCAATATATTGCCCCAATTAGATAATTAATTTATTAGTACGTGAAAAATTGCTCTACTGATAAAAAATTATTTTATTCTAATATTTACTCCAGAAAAGATTGTATAGTAGGCGGCTTAACATATGAAATTAGTCGCATTCGAGACTAATAATAACTTAATAATATCTAATCATTATTAATCCCGAATGCGACCAATTTCATATGTAGGTATTATTGGCACCTACTGTGCATTATGTACAGAAAATTCGGGAGCTTTTTATTTCATTTATATAAAAATTTTTATATTAAGATATACAATATATTTATTAAGTCACGCTATTTTCAAGAATTTGAAATCGTTCTCTTTTACTTTAAAATAAAAATCGAATAAAAAAATAATTTTATGGAAGAAATATTTTTTATATATATTTTATGTGTAGCTAGTGAATTGACGATCGATACAATATGTCACAATCCCATGGAAAAAAAACGCCAGGAACATATCAAAGAGCTAATCGTGACTGAACAAGCCTACATAGAAGACATGAGGCTAGTACACGAGGTATTTTTTATTTTTCTTTTTGAATTTGCTTTTTATTCATGTTTCATGATTCACGTATATATTTAGAATAATGTGACATGTGGTTTTTCTTCCCTTCATTTAAAGATTTTTTACATCATTTTGGATTTTTTCTTAGATATTATCTATCAGAAAAAGAAATGTTTCTCTTATCAATAATTATGTAAATTTTTAGAAATCAAATGTCCTTAATGATGTATTTATTTAAAGATATGACATGATTTTAAATAAGAACTTTACATATTCAAAGCATTAATATTAAGAAGGAAAAATGCATGCACATTGTTATTCTAAATTAATTGGAAAATTGATGGAGGAAAATTCGAGCTGGATCTATAAAACGTTATAATATATACGTGCGTGTGTGTGTGTGTGTATATATATATATATTGTGCATATTTTAGGTGTTTGAAAAACCATTAATTGAAAGTTTAGTCATGAGCGTCGATGAAATAGAAAAGATATTTATTAATTGGAGAGATATTATTGCATGTAACGATAATTTTTTAAGGTAACTGGATTTATCATTAATACATCTAACAAAATATATTTTCCATCGATAAGATGAGAGAGATTACAGATCAATTTCTTACAGGACTTTAAGAATAAGAAGGGATAACAGTTATAACGGAGTAGTTAGAATGATTGGCGATATCCTATGCGAAAATGTAAGTATGCACTTATAATGTAAGTATTTTACGAAATGACCGGTTGTTATTGAAACCTATTTATGATATAATAATATAATACTTATGTACGATATATAATATTTCGCAGATACCTAGGATGTCAGCTTACATAAGATTTTGCAGTTGCCAAATATCTGCGGCGATGTATTTGCAACGTTTGACAGAAACCTTACCGGAATTTGTTCGAGTCGCGCAGACATGTCAGCAAGATCCACGAACAAAAGGAATGCCATTAAGCTCATTTTTAATTAAACCGATGCAAAGAATAACAAAATATCCGCTTATTATTGGCAAGGTATTTTTATTTTTATTTCTAGATAATTATAGCTTACATCATATCGTATCCTAGCACATGGAACATACTATGATTATAGATTTTAGAATATACGCCGATAGATCACCCCGATAGGCAGTATCTGCAAGAAGCGTTGGCTAAATCCGAAGAGTTTTGTATTCAGGTAAAAATAGTGCAAGAGAATATAAGAAAGAAAATAAAATGATTTACTCACACATTTATTTTTCATCTAATATTGTGCATTATTATAGGTGAATGAAGGAGTCAGAGAGAAAGAAAATAGCGACAGATTAGAGTGGCTGCAAACTCATGTAATATGTGATGGTCTTGAAGAACAACTCGTTTTCAATTCCTTGACAAATTCCTTGGGGCCGCGAAAACTTTTGCATTACGGTATACTTCACAAGGTAATAAATATTGTAGAAATATTGTAGAACATAAATATAATAAATAGGAGATTGTCGCATTTTTTTACGCAGTTTTATATCATATCGCAATATTGTTACAGTCAAAAAGTGGCAAAGAACTCGTCGGCTTCCTGACAAATGATTTCCTACTGTTTGTTCAACCAATGAAATTCTCATTGAACTGCCAACAATTTTCATTTGAACGCAACGAACATCAAAAATTTAAGATGTACAGAAAAGTATGCAATACTTTGGAGAAAATCGTTAGAGAATGTGTAAATTAAAACTGTTCACGTAATTATGACACTAATTGACTCTTCCTTTTATAGCCGATATTTCTCAACGAATTATCTTTGCTTGGAGAAAACGACGGAAACAGTAGCTTGAGCGGAAGCGACGCGGCGGACAATTCCTCGAAAATTTTAAGACTGAAAGATCAGAAGAAACCAATTATATTATCAGCATCATCTGCGAATGAATGTTCCTTGTGGTCGAAACGAATCGTAGAAGCGCGTAGGAAATTTTTAGAGAATGAGAGGAATCGCCTGCAGAGACAACGATCAAGTGAGTTTAATCATAATCGTATTGTATCCAGTTATCTGAGTATTAAAATTATCGAATCATTGTTTATTTGTACTTTTACAAGTTATTTATTGCTTTGTCAATTATTTGTATTATTTCATGATGTTTATACGCCAATTTTCGTGTATACTGTTCGGCTTATTGAGCTTATATGTAGACCTACTTTCGCGTGTCATATAATAAATTTGATTTTAATAATAAGTTTATGTGAATGAACAGAACAGGCACAATTTAGAGCGTGCGGCAGAATTCTCGTCACTGTGCTCGAAGGCTTCAACTTGAAAGCCCCATCCGGTAAGGATCTGCAGACGGTTTAGGTGCATGCTTGCATTTTTTATGTTTGTTTACTGTTGATGTTGAGATACGTAATTATTAATGCTTGCTTACTTGCTTGTGCAATATTATGGGAAAGAGTTATATGGAAGCGATGTACATACATAAGTAGTTGTATTTATCGGATGAGAAATATGTGTTATAGAAATGTGTAGTGAAAAACTAAGCCAGAAAAAATTTAATATAAAAATTTCAACTTATATAATTTGCATGTAACGCTTTATTACTAACATAAATCTGCCATAATTGTAGTTCGCAGGAGACCTCCCGAAGGTAGGCTGCGACTAGTAGTTGTGGAAGCTGAAGATCTTGTCATTAGTAAAAAAGGTACAGTATCGAAATCCTGTACTTTGGAACAATTTTGAATATCAATATTCGTATATTTCATTATATTTCATTACAGTTAGTTTGAAAAAATCAATTTTTATTAAGCTTGTATTATAAATAGAATTCCACTGATTTTTTTGTTATTTTCTTCATACTTCTATTTTACAATAACATAATCTTTTTTCCTAAGATTTTCTTTAGTTGCACTTTTTTATTCATACTCGAATCCAAATTAAAAAGGTAAGAAATGATCCTTGTAATTTATCAAAAAAATTAAAGGCTTTGGCGAGTGAAATTGCAAAAGCATGAATGCATGGCAAAAAATTATATATATTTAATATCTTTAAGGTACAATGATCAGAAAATATTTCAATCTTACAATAAAATCAAACTTTAAAAATTTAACTGAAAAATCTGGATGTGGGGGGATGAATGCGCTATCTTTGGAATGGCTTGAGGGCTACGTAATGCATAAAATTACTAACGCTTAAAGAGAAAATAATATTTTTATATAACTGTCGTTCTGTTTTCCATAACGATTGAATGTTCATACGCATATGCAAGTGTTTCTGTTCTTCTAGGAAAGTGTAATACATTCTGCAAAGTGTCTATGGGCTCTCAAGAAGAAAGAACCGGCGTCGTATCTGGAAACGATTGCCCTTGGTGGGATGCCTCGATGCAATTCCAAGTAAAAGATCTATTAGAAGATACCCTTTGCATCACCGTGTTCGATAAAGGATATTACAGTCCTGATGGTAAGCCTTTATCATTGTAATCGTTAGTATGAAAATTGATTAATGTTATACGAGCATTATTAAAAAAAATTAATCGACTAAATTATAACTTTTTTAATGTTGATAATTCGAAATGTTAATGTAGAATTTCTTGGCCGTGCCGAGATCAGAGTCGCTGATATAATGAGAGATAGTAAAGATTCTTGTGGACCAATTCAAAAGAGAATCAAATTGCATGAAGTCGATAGCGGTGATGTCATCCTCAAGCTGGATCTTCGACTGTTTGATAGCAGATAAGATACTTGTAGTAGTATGTGCGTATATATATATATATATATATATATATATATATATATATATATATGCATGCATATATGTAAAAATTTATAATTTATAGAAGTAGTTAACGAAGTAATAGAAGATCGAAAAATACTAAAAATTAATATTTTATTTTATTTTTTTATTCTTTTAAAAGAAAGATCTGATAGAAAGAAAATTAATATAATTTTAAAATAATTTATATATATATATATATACAGGGTGTTTCTAAAACTATGTCGAAAATTTTAAGGGCGTATTCTAGAGATCAAAATAAGAAAAAAAGTTCATAAACATGGGTCGAAAAATGCTTTTCCTCCAAGTTATAGCCCCCTAAAGTTGAGGGAAAAAATCGAAAAAAAAAACACAAAAATAAAGCTCATTATTAATTATTACGCTGTGCAAAACTTTAACGTTCTCTATGAAAAAGTCTCCGAGAGTTACAATACATTTTTCGATTTTTTCCCTCAACTTTAGGGGGCTATAACTCGGAGAAAAAGCATTTTTGGACCCATGCTTATATGAACTTTTTTTCTTATTTTGACCCCTAGAATACGCCCTTATAATCTCCGACATAGTTTTAGAAACATCCCGTATATAAAGCGTCTATCATATACTTTTTAATATATATAAATAATTTAATCAAAATTATTACAAAGTCTCGTAATATGATATATAAGTTCTCTTTTTCGATATAACATTTTCGAAGTAAAATATTACATATTTATGGGAAAATATAAAGTTTAATTTATGGGTTTTTTCGACGGGAATATCTTTTTAATATGTATATTACACAATTATAATAACGAAATATTCCACACAAAAATATTGCCCATGGAAAATGTTACTATTATATTTTTATTCAGCGTTTTGTATACTCGCCGATATTTTTTATTTAGCTAATGTTTAGGACGCTATTACATCTGCGAGGCAGAGCTTAATGCAAATCATCATTGCAATAAATTATATAGTATTTTATATCACGAAATTCTTATGGATTAGACGGCATAAAAATGAGTGATAACAGTCATTTATTAGCTGGCTCTGCCACGAAGATGTATGTGTCTTTTCATCGAGCAGCGCACAAAGACATTCGCTCTTCGTTCTCTTTGCTTACATATGTATATTTTGTTTTCACTTTCGTCGATGTTTTCGTTTACGTATATTTTACGCGAGAGGAGTAGTAAAATAAGCGCAAGCGCGGAATGTCCGAGAGCAAAGCTCGAAGGGAAACACAAAAAGACAATCTGTATCTTTTGTTTAATAAATTATCCTTTATCAGATACGGACAGCAGTTCCTTGGAATGCCTGGGAATGTCTATTTCCGTGTTCGTATCAGCTACGTCCCGATGCATCGCGTCCTCCGTAGGAAATTCATAAATTGGCTTGAATCCACCGATGAGCTGCGGCTTAAAGTTATTGACGTCAAACTCGTTCCTCTCGGTTTGCGGTTCCATTTCCGAGCTGACAAGTTTCTCGCCATCGTCGTTATCCGACTTCCTCTCCGCTCCCACGGGCGGTTCGACAACGACGACGCTCCAGCCGTTTTTGCTAGGCGTCTCGGCGCTGATACTGGCGACGAAGGGAGCCATAAAGTTTTGCGGCGCCGGTGCCGAGCTGGAAGAGCTGGACGGCTGCTGAGAAGGTAGTAACACCGTCTGCTTCGCGTCGACATTCGCAGCAACATCCGCCCCGTCCTCATCATCATCTCTGCCTTCATCGAGACGAATCGAATACGGAGCGTGCGTCGGCGTGTAAACATAAGCGATTGGCATCGAGGTCGACGTCGAAGCGGTCGACGTCGATGCCGACGTCGATGCAGTTCCTGATCCAGTGCGATGCAGCGTCACCGAGATCGCCGCGTCGTTCTTTCTTCGATTGGAAGTTGGCAGGAATTCCTGCAGGTACGGGATTACATTTACTGTGTCCACGTGCTCGTCCTTTTCGCTCTTCTCTTGCTCGCTCATGACGGAAGTCTGCTGCTGCTGTTGCCGTTGCTTACTGGGTATCAATAACGGCGTTTCTTTCACGGTGACGGGAAAGACGGATGTCGGATCGGGCCGTTCTAGAGGGTATGGAAAATCTTGGACGACCAAAGGTCTACCGTTGTAAACGGTATGTGCCTCGTCCGCCGGTTCGTTCTGAAGCAAAGTGTCGGGTGGTAGCGGTCGGTGAGGACCTCGCGTACCCACGACGACGCTCCCATCTTTCTCATTGGAGTCGTCCGGATGTATGTTGACCGCAGTATTCACCGGATATACAACGTACACAGGTTGCTCGGGTATTTCCGTTGGATCGTGATTGTCGGATTTTCTACGTTCCGCTTCGTGCGCGAGCACGGGTTCCACCGGTTCGTCGGTCTCGTCGTTCTCGCCGATCAGTTCACCGTGATGCTGTATCATTTGCAGAGTCGCAACGCGCGGGGGATCTGCCGTACGCCGTTTCGGGAACAGAGGTGGCCTTGGCGGTGTCATCGGCGGTTCCTCCGGATATCTTTCTTCGTTTTCGCCCATCATTTCGCTCTTACCATGGTCCTCCTTCCTACTCTCGGCGTTCTTGCTTATTGTGCCTTGACCGATTCCATGAGCAAACAACTTGTTCTCATGTAGACCTACACGGGAGATCGAGGGTGTCGCGTGCGGAGGACGAAGTCTTGTACGTACCGATTCTGTCTCGTGTGGTAGAACGATATTATCCACATTGGATGTTGGCACGATCGCTAGTCTAATCGCGTGGATCGACGGCGGTGGCGGGTTCAATCGTTGAAGATACGAAGGTGAAGGTGGAAAGAGAGGTCTTCGTGAGGTGGACGAATGACTCGGCAACGATTGTCTGATTCTCGTACCTGACGAGCCTTGCCCGGCCGGCATCGTTCCTATCGTATCCGGACCGCGATGACCGTATGACGCTTTCGCGTTAGGTCGAAACTGGGGCAGAATGTTAGGCAGCTTCGTGTCTGGCAAGTACGGACGTTTCCTAAGCCCCGGGTCCAACGGGGGTACCGAGTGCGGCTTGATACGCGGTGGTGGCGGCGATAGAGGCAATCTCTGCGGTAATCTTGAATGATCTGGTCTCGGTCCGTCGTACTGGTAATGATAGAAGTATGATGGTGGCGGTTTGGATGATGGTCTGGAACTCTCCGCGGGTGGTATCAAATCCTCGGCGAGCTGCGGCAAATCTCCAATCGCTGTTGATACATTGGGCTTTGTTTTATTTATCGTTGTCGCCATCGTCGTCGTTAGCGTCGTCGTCTTGGAAGTAATTAATTCACGAATGCTACCATCCGCTTCGTTCACAATCACGATTCGCTCTTCTGTCGTCGCGTCGGTGTCCTTTGTCTCGTCGTCCGGAAAAACGACGTAGCTGGAATCCTTTTCTTTGCTTCGGTTGTTCTCATCCTGAATTACTGCGCTCGAGATAGCGACGAGGGGACTCTGAGATTTCATCGGTTCGATCTCGTTGCTGGTTTTCAGGGGGCTGGGTGGCCACCATTGTTGCGTATCGCGATCGGGACCCGATAATTCAGTGACGGAATGAGGTGGTAGGTGTTGCTCCTGTTTAACTCCTTTCGTTGGACCTTGAGGATCGTTGTGAATGGGCCAGAGCATGGCATCGTTGTCGGATAAACCGCCATAGAGATTCTCTCCGACGGCTGTCCCGATCGAATAATAGCCACCTTCGACGCTTTGACGATTGCCGAGAACAAAAGACACGACATTCTGATCCGGTGGAATCACAATGTTGCTCGTGCTCTCTATCACGGCCCCTCCTATTCTGTTCGGTTCCAACTTGACTGGCATCGGCGTCGATCTATATCCATGACTGATTATATCGTCGTAACGTTCCGTAACACCCTGTCTTCGGTCGCTGTTCAAAGACGAAGAGACGATCGGATGTTGTGATATCAATGGAAATTGAGACGGGCCGTTTGCCAGCGTGTCCTCTCGAGGCGCAGATGATGTCGAAGATACGGATCGCAAAGGCATGACCGTGGTAGCGGCCGTTGTTGTTCCTACAGACGATGCAGTAACCCTTGTTGTAGTAGTGGCAGTGGTGGTGGTGGTTGTAGCTGCCGTTGACGCTGTTGGAGAAGTGGTTGTAGAAGATTCTGACGTGAAATCTTTCAATAAGTCTTGGAATAAAGAGTAATCGTTTTCCTCGCTGTTGCCGTTGCTGTCAGCTTCACCTTCGCCCTCGCCCTCGCCCTCACCGTCCGACAATTCGTAAGTGTCGTAAGAATCTCTGTATTGAATATCTTCTTCATTTTGCGCTGGTTTGGTTTCAGGTCTCGTATGAGATACCACGAAATTATCGAGATTCGAATGATCTTTATGAAGAGGGCCGGCTTGCGTCTTCTCTGTCATCGCAGCATTATTTGGAGTTCGCATTGGATTGCTCGGATTTCGATGAGATTCAGGGTGATTGGAAGCGTGCAGTTTTTCGATCGGCAGGAGATTCTTCTCGCTTTCCATCTCGGTGCGATCGATCGAGTGAAACGCAATCGGAGTATTGGACGGTTTCCACGTGGTTACAACGGGTGCCTTGGTCGAAGTAGGAAGCGAGGTTCGCGACGTAGTCATGGCTGATACGGAAGTCGTGATCGTCGACGGACTCGTCCACTTCGCTTTATCATCCTCGATAGCCGTGGTCTTGTGCGTGCTCGTTTTCGTTATTGGTGCGTAAGAATTCTTAATGGGACGCGCGTACAGATTGTTCTCGGAATGATAAGGTCTGTGATTGTACGTGCTGTAGCTATTGGCACCGCTCTGCACCTTCGTGTTTGCGTACGAGCTCGAGATCAGCGGGTACTTGTCGTTCTCGTATTTGTTCGAGGAGTAGTGGACGGGTAGGTTGAGGAAATCGTGAAAATTAGTGTACGTGTTGATCTCATTCGGACCGACGTCTTCGTTGTTCTTGCCCTTGTTTTTCTTCCGTTCCGAATAGACATCCTTCTTGTCACCATCTCTGTCGTCATCCTCTTTATCCTCACGATAACGGTCGGTGTAATTGAGAGCTTTGACGGGTGGTGCTTTTTCGAAGTCAATCTTACCGGTTATCGGGTCTTTCTCCAGCGAAAACGGCTTACCTCCGTTGAAGGCGAAAGGATACGGAATATGGTAACGTGGAGCGTCGCCATCGTTGTCGCCGGTTGGAGCTTCAGCGGTAGCGCCCACGGCAACAGAACTCTCCTCCGCCACGAGATCCAGGTCAAGGTCATCCAGACGTGTCTTGCGCTCCAACGTGGAAGCGCTCTCGATCTTGCCGGATCGCTGGGACCCGGCATTGTTGTCCAGGTGACCGCCCATCAGATACTCGCCCGACACGCATGTCAGAACAGCGAGGAGCGTCCACAAGCGTCTCCGCATCTCATATACACGGCGTCTGGAAAATATCATTTATCATCAATTTATATAATTTCTTAGTTCGATTTAGATATATAGATTTTTGTTTTATTAAAATTGTCTCTCTAATCATGCTTTGTAGAATAGATATCCTATAATAATTGGATAATTTCCATTTTAAATTTATACAAATACCAAGTTTGTTATACATTAAATATAATAGTTAAATATTCTTACGTTGTCACATCCATTATCTATACCCTATAAGCACACAATATTCGTAGGATATTGTATAAATATTATTAACTGTTAATAATATTTATACAATATCCTAGGAATATTGTGTGCTTATAGGGTATAGATAATGGATGTGACAACGTAAGAATATTTAACTATTATATTTAATGTATAACAAACTTGGTATTTGTATAAATTTAAAATGGAAATTATCCAATTATTATTTATATATATTATATTTATTATTTAACAATTATTATTTATATATATTATAATTATTATTTATATAATTATCTAATTATTATTTATATTTATTTATATTATTTATTTTTTTTATTATTTATATTTTATATTTATATTATTATTATAATTGGAAATTATCTATGTGCAAATTTACGTTTTTTTAAATTTTTATGTAATTTTTTTGTTTTCTCGCGTAACGTTTCATGCTCATTATTATACGCTTACGGTTTACTTGTAAGGGCTCTATCTTGTAAGTTGGCATGCGGGTAGCTCGCCTCAGCGAAAGTAGTGCGAAAAAAAGAGGAGACAACTAGAAGACCTATATTTAATATAATTCAATATCTGTCAATTAGATTTATATAAATATTATTATATCTGTCTATGCAAGATTGCAAACGTTTTGTACAAAAGATCGGTCGAGTAAACTGTAATCGCATCATTTCGTGTCTTTAATAACGTAATAATGCATAATACTGAATGAATTGCTAATTGTAACGGCTTATTAAACCGTTACCTTTGATAAGTTTCAACCGTCGAAGCTGTTCGCAGAAGATATAAATAGGTAAATATATGCATGATTTTCGTACGTATTCAAATTTCCGGAGGAAAATGCAAATTTATGCATTAATATAGATGTTACGATAAATCCATAACGTATAGAATCGGGAGATCGTGTTACGTCAAATGGAATTCCGTTTCAATGTATAACGGGGTTTAGTAGTGTCTCTCTCTTTCTCTCTCTCTATCTCTATCTTTCTTCATCTTCCGGCATCGCATCATCTCTTTCTTTTCTCTTTCTGCATGCTTTCCACATAAATTGTTAGCATGGACTCCGTCCATGTCTTTTCCTACAACTTTGATAATCCTCTATTTGGCCTTAATATTCAGGTCGAATAACGTTGTATACGGTGACATGCATTCGTCCGCTGAAATCATCTGTGTGTGCGATGACGCCGTTCACCATTCATAACATAATCATAATGTTCCTGGTTACAGTGACCCGTGGTGTTTCCTCTGACATGGTGAATGGAATGCAGGTGATATTGGTCAGTATATGACCCACTTTGTTCCCTGTTTCGGGGTTTTGCCCCCGAATTGTGTAATTTCGGTTTCATGTATCGGACCGTGTCATGAATCGTATTTTATATGCGCGATTCTTTTGCCTAGATTTGCAATTTAGTATCTTATCAATATGCGAAAAATTTCTCATCTATTTGCAGCGTTTTTCAAATTTACAAAATATCACTTTTTTTTAAAGTTCAAAAAATTTTGCTCCGCGTGTATATAACAGTTTAATATCTATTGAAAAGTTTAATAAAATATATATAAGTTCAAAATTAAATATATATTAAAGAATTAGAGTTTTATTAAAGAATAAGAATTAAACATTTATTATAATTAATATATTATTGAGAGAGAGATAAAGAGAGATCCTGCTTTTTTTTATTTATCTTTGCATCTTGTCACGGCTAATTTATTATGATAATATAATTTATTATATGATAAAAAGCTTGTTGTTATTAATTATCTAGATGTAATTTTTTGCAGATTTATTATACCTTAATTACGTGTGAAAAGATAGTGGATTGCAGATTTAAAAGATGACAATCAAAGCCTCCTCTTCCCCTTGGGGGTCCTCGTGATTTCTGATGATTTATTGATCCATCGACGCGTGATTTTTCGATACAACACGATTCTGATCGAAGTTGATAATTGAGAATAACAACTTTGTTGGAAAATTTTTTTGTGCAATTAGCGCGTCGAGAACAAAAAGTCAGAACCCCTTGGGGAGATTCGCGATCCTGGAAGAAGGTCGTGTAGCGACTGAACAACCTTGTCGTCAGGACGGTCAGAAGGAAGACGAAGAGGTGGCAGGAGGACACGCGGTGGAGGAAGATCTCGTTCCGATTGACTCCAAGAGTAGGAGAACGCCGTTAAGGAAGAAATGAGGAAGCGCGAATAATCATGAGAAGCTAAAGGAGATAGAAACCCGTGTAATGTTCAGTAAGATAAAAAGCTAACGGAAGTATACGTTTATTTAAAATACATAAGCACAAGGATGAATGCTTGAGGAGAAACAATAGAAAGAGATTTCTTATTCGGAATACACTTTAAGTAGCTGCTTTTCCATAAACGCTTCATTTTACAACGTTAAAAAGTTATGAATTTAATAATATATGTCAATCAAATATTATAAATTTAATAATATATGTTAATCAAATATTACTGACAAAGTAATAGCAAAATTAAATGACCAAAAATAGATGTAATAATATCCGTAAGACACTTAACATGACAAATGGTGAGTCGAATTCTCTTGGCGTGTATAAATTATGAAAATAGAGATAGAAAAGCTTCGTAAATTCAAACGATAATATATTGCTTTGCAACGAAATTTTGTTCGCATTAATATCAATAGTACGATTTAATAATTTTTAAGAATGAGTCATCTTTGAGGAAAGAATCGCAGGAAGACGGAAGGTTGTATCAAACTCTCGTGATCGCGATCGTCGCTAGCATTACCGTAACATGAAGCAAGGAATGGACATCATCGTGTAGGCGTTCGTTCCCTGTTGCTGCTGAAAGATACAGAGAGTCAGGGGCGGAGAAACGGTACGTAAAACAGTTAGACGATGACCCACATCAAGCGGAGAACCTCGACAGTGACCGGCGTACCAGTTTCTTCGACCTTGCACCACAACCAAGCGTCAAACGAACCTCTAAAATTTTATGAGATTCTTGTGGACCGATTCCTCTTTTTACCTTTCCTGAGAAGCAACGAAAAAAATACATACACATATATATATATATATATATATATATATATATATATATATATATATATACATGGTGTCCCAAAACTCATAATCAATTTTTCAAAGACAGATTCCTGGGATCATTTGGAGACGATTTTTCCTCAGCAAAAATGTCGATGAAGGCCATCATTTTTTGTATGTTTCCAATTTTTGTCATCATATATCTTTGCAATTAAGCCTTAAATTAAAACTCAACTAAAGTAAACTTTATTTAAAATTAATCGAAGAATTGGTTTTGTTAATATTTTATTTCTACAAAGCTTAGTTTACGAAAAACCCCTTATTTCCAATCACTAATAATTCGAAAATTATTAGTGCCTCGACATTTTCGTTGAGGAAAAATCGTCTTCAGATGATCCTAGGAATCTGTCTTCGAAAGATTGATTATGAGTTTTAGGACACTCTGTATATATATAAATCATTACGAGATCTAGAGAAAAAAATCATCAATCTTAATTAACAATCTTACTTTATTTTTTCGACAATCGGAAATAATGAATGAATATTAATAATTTTGGTTTGATTAAAAGTAAATTTTTAAATATGCTGCAATATTGTGAATTAAAAATGGTTATCTTTTGTTTTAAAAGATATTATTTCTTGTCGTTATTTATACTTCAAATGATAATAATTTGAATAATGTGACGTCGTTACAAAGACGTTATGAAATGCGCATGACGCGTTAAGATCATTGAACGGATTCACGATACGCGTGCGCCAGAATTTAACTTATCAGATGTTTGACTCTTGTTATGATCTTCAAAGTCATCGCCTTACATTAATCACAAAGTTTATAAAAGGCGCGCAGTAACGAGCAATGCATTTGTGCTTAAGCCTCATCTTCAACAAGAACATTATCGAGCAGAAGCCGCTTCTCTTATTGTAAAAAGCACTCAGTGTAGTGAAAATTCTGACGATGATGTTGCGAATCGCGAGCGTTATCGCTTTTTGCGTTTTATTAAGTGAGGCACGTAACTTCAACGATGCGCGAGTGAATTATGATAAATATTGGAAGGAATTTCAAGAATTTATTAAATGGAAGAGAACAAAGGAGCTGAGCGAATACAATGTCGAGTTTCTAACGCGTGCGATCGGATTCGATGATGATAAAGACGTTCAAAGGATTGATAATCGAGCTATACAGGATCTACCACTGATAAATCAGCCAGCTTTAGTGGCTAGATACGTTGTTAATCAAGCTGGTAATTGACGTAATATCATTGGTAGAAAACTCATAAAAATAAAGTATATACATATATAATGTAGTATAGTATATGTAACAATATTACTCTTAATAAGTTGTCGTGACTCTGCATTACGGTAATATGTACTAATTTTCTACTAATATATATATCATTCTATACACATCCTAACAGCATATAAGATATTGTTAATGCAAAATATATATTATATGTTCTCTGGATGTTTTTTTAGACTTTTTTTAACATGTATATTGTTAGGATATATACATTTACAAGTTTTTACATTTTGATTCTTTTAGAGATTTAATTAAATACAAACAAATTTCGACAAAAGAATTTTTCACAATGAGAGAAGAATTTTTCATTTTTCACTGTATATTTTTATAAAAAAATATTCATATCGAAATTCATTATCGAAAATTAAAGCTGAAATTATAATAGAAACAATATTCGCGCGTTTCATATTATCAGCATATTTTGTTATATATCTCTTATATCTCTTTATTTATATCTCTTATATCTCTTTATTTATATTTCTTATTTATATTTCTTATATATCTTAAATCAAAAAGTATACGAAATAAACGAAATATAAAAATAGCGAGTTATATTGAGTGAGATTACATGTACGTATAATGTATATACACAATGCGCTGTTTGCTTTTGTCTCACCGTTGATGTTGTGCAAAGTACATACGGCTAGATATTATCAATTAATAAAAAACTCGTGCGCTGTATGCGACTATGTACAACGATTTCTTCGAATATTATGATACTCATAAAATAATATTATTGTTTTAAAGAGAAATCAGAGAATAGAAATCTTCATTAAAAATGACAAATTTCTATCATTTTCACTTTAAAATATTTCAATTTTTCTCTTGCATATAAGATATATAAAAGACAAAGAGACATGACTTGTGAATACAATTCGATCCATCGAGACATACAATCGAATGCATTAATGATGTGGCATTTAATGATTTGGCATTTATATTTAAATATTGTATTTATATGCGATCACAAGAACACAAAACTCAAAGTCAATTTAATGTCATATTGACCAAGTTTATATCTAAATATGTTTTCATCAATTTAACATCAACATGATATCAAATGACATTACTTTGTGTACATTGGCTTGCGTTTTCCTCGGGATATTTATAAGAAAAACATATCTTTCTGTTGATATAATTTTTATAATTATATTGTTTTATGTTTTATCGGCAGATTGGGCAGCTATAGCGACGATAAGCACTCGAAAAGATGTTGAAACATTTCCTGTTGCGAATTTAATTTCTATCGGCGATGGACCTATTGGAAACGGCACTGGAATACCATATATGTATCTTACCCCTCTTGACTACACTGCTCAAGATCTCGTTGTAAGTAAACATCATACACATATAATGTAATCATGATATACAGTGCCTATTCTAGAATATTTGATGCGCGAGAAAGCAAAATGTCAAAAGGAATAAGAAAATTGTGTTATAAAAAAATTTCAAGTCATTTGCATATCCATGCAATATTGCGATATTAATTATATTTTTAATTGGTATATCATATCTTCTGATAAACCAATAATAATGTTTTGACAATAGGTTATCATATAAGTTACATCATCATTTAATTCTATAATTAATTAATCATGGGAAAGTGTATATCAGTTTTCTTTCTTCTCAACCTTCTCTTTCTCATATCTGATGAAACTGAAATATTCTGTCATATATTATCTTCAATTGATATACTCAAATTAATCATTTGGTTTGTCATTGAAAGAGTCAAATCAATCATATATTTGATAAGAAAATTGCGAAAAATATAACACCTTACTTGATCTTTTCTTCTTAACGAAATTTTTAATTTCTTTAAAGCAGGATTTTTTATCATATTGATAAAATATCTAATTTATCTATCACGTCAAATTTTTTAACGATCGTATCATATAAATGATTCATTATTATAGAAAGATCATCGCGCGACTCTTCTAGTATCATTGGCGGAAGGAACTTATTGCAAAAATAAACAATGGGATGCGATGGACCCACGATGTGCTAGAGTTATGCTAAGTGGAAAAATTGTAGCAGTCAGTATAAATTGTTCTATTTATATTATTTGTATTATATTGATTTAATTATTAAATTATTAATTAAATATTATTATAATTTTTATTATTACTATTAACATTTTCAATTTTATTATTATTATTGACGTTTAATTATTATTATTAATGTTTTCACGGTAGGTGAAGAACAATACTGAAGAGCATAAAACTGCAGAACAATTATTCTTCGATCGTCATCCGAAATTGGAAAATATGCCCGCAGGTAATATCGCATTTTATTACACAATGTCACTTAAAAATTGCATCAAAAAGATAATATTGTATTAATTATTTATATAGATCATGGATTTTTCTTCGCCAAGTTAGAAATATATGCGATCGCTTTGTTATACAACTTTGGTGGACCAAAATACATTTCAGTGGAAGATTATTTTCATCCGTCGGTGAATCATATTGTAAATAACTTATACAAACATTTCATTGTGGAATTAGTATCTAATGAGTAGATTCTGTAAATACTGTCACTAATAAATTTCTCGAGGTTTAATCGTGTGACATTGCTTTCTCTGAAGAACGAAGTTGAAAAAGAATTTATATTTCTTAAAAATAGATACATAATCATTATTATGTTGATAAATAAAAAATAAATTGACTGTAGATATAAATTAATAAATGTGATTATTACATTCCTTCATTTATATTCCATGATTGAAACTTTCAATGTTTTTTTATTTCTTTTTCATAGATTATCTTACCAATTACTTTTTATTGCATTAAATATCAAATATGATAAATTAAGAGCACGCATCTGTCCATGTATTACTGCGCATGCAATAGATTTTTCTCTTGTCCATGAAATAAATAGATAGATTACGAGAAACGTTCCATTTGATCAAAGCCATTCACAGCTGCAAAGTTTTTTCCACTAGACCAATCAAAAGATCCTGAATTGAATGTGGACGTAGATATTACTAGATTTACATGGATTAACATGGTTTCCTATCTATGTTATAAATTTTTATGAAATATATAAATAGCACGTAGATACATTCATTTTGTATAACATACGATATGTAATATCTGAAAAAGTCGTTTTTTCGTTATATATGCATATATGGATCATTACGTTAGAATCCAGGGAAAAAAATATCAACCTTAATTAACAATCTTATTTTATTTTTTTGACAATTGGAACGACAATTGGAATGACAATCGAAAACATAAATCTTAATTTCGATTTGATTACGTTACATAAAAGTAAATTTTTAAAAATGCAGCAATATTGTAAATTAAAATTGTTTATTTTTAGTTTGTTTAAAAATATATTATTTTTTATCGTTATTCATACTTTCAATGACACTTGGTTTGAATAATAACGCGTCGTTACATAAAATGCTGTACGCACATGATATGTTAAGATTATTGAACTGACACTCGCGATACACATGCGCCTAAATATAGATTACGATGTTCCACTTTTATCACGATCTTTACAGTCATCGCCTTACATTAATCACAAAGTTTATAAAAGGCACACAGTAACTAATGCATTTGTGCTTAAGTCTCATCTTCAACAAACGAACATTATCAAATAGGCGCTTCTTTTACAATCGAAAACAATAAATACATGAATCTTAATTTCGATTTGATTACGTTACATAAAGTTACATTACGTATATAAAAGTAAATTCTTAAATATGCTACAATATTGTAAATTAAAAATGTTTATATTTGCTTTAAAAAGATATTACATTTTATCGTTTATATTTTGAATGACACTAATTTGAAAAATAACGCATTGTTACATAAAATGCTGTACATGAAATATTTTGAATGAAACTAATTTGAAAAATAACGCGTCATTACGTAAAACGCGTCGTTATATAAAACGCTGTACATGGTGCGTTAAGATCATTGAATAGACACTCGCGATACACATGCCGAATTTAATTTATGATGTTCGACTCTTACTACGATCTGCATCGCTTTATATTAATCATAAAGCTTATTATAAAAGGCACGTAGTAGCGACCAATTCATTTGTGCTTAAACCTCATCTTCAACAAGAACATTATTGAGTAGAAGCCGCTTTTCTTATTGTAAAAAGCTTTCGGTGCAGTGACAATTCTAACGATGATGTTCCGAATCGCGAGCGTTATTGCTTTTTGCGCTTTATTAAGCGAGGCACGTAACTACAGCCATCGAGGGACTGATATTCGAGATCAAGATCTACCACCGGCAGATCAGCCAGCTTTAGTGGCTAGATACGTCGTTAATCAAGCTGGTAATTGACCAACGTAGTATCATTGGTAGAGAAAATTCGAAAATTAAAAATGAAGTACATATATAATGTAATGTAGTATGTAACAATATTACTCTTAATAAGTTGTCGTGGCTCTGCATTACAGTTATATGTACTAATTTTCTACTAATATATATATCATCCTATATATATCTTAACAGTACGTATATTGTTAATGCAAAATATATATTATATGTTCTCTGTATGTTGTCTTTAGACATTTTTTAACGTGTATATTGTTAGGATATATACATTTACAAGTATTTACATTTTTAATTTTTTTAGAAATTTAATTAAATACGAACAAATTTCAACAAAAAGAATTTTTCACAAGAATTTTTCTGCATATTTTTATAAAAAAAATATTCATATCGAAATTCATTATCGAAAATTAAAGCTGAAATTATAATAGAAACAATATGCGCGCGTTTCATATTTTATTATATATTTTACAAAAAATATACGAAATAAACGAAATATAGGCCGGTATTCATAGTCTGTTCTCATATTTAAGATCATCTTAAGTAAGATTTGAAAATGTTATACTGCTATTTCATTGGCTGAACAATCTTAATACGACCTAAGACCAGACTTAAGACAATTTTAAATATAAGATCGGATTATGAATACCGGCCATAGAAGTAGCGAGTTATATTGAGTATATGTATATATGTATATGTAATGCGCTGCTTGTTCTTGTCTTACCGTTGGTCTTGTTCTAAGCACATATATCTAGATATTAATTAATAAAAAACTCGTGCGCTGTAGCGAGTATGTACAACAATTCTTCGAATATTATGATACTCAAAATAATTTTATTGTTTTAAAGAGAAATTAGAGAATAGAAATCTTCATTAAAAATTACAAAATTTTATCATTTTCACTTTAAAATATTTCAATTCTTCTCTTGTATATAAGATAAAAGACAAAGAAACATGACTTGTGAATACAATTCGATCCATCGCGCATACAATCGAATGCATTAATGATGTATTCGGCATTTAAATATTTAAATAGTGTATCTCTGCGATCACAAAAATTAAGCCAATTTGATGTCATATAGATCAAATTTATGTATAAATATGTTTTGGTCTACATATATTTAACACCAATATGATATCAAATAGGATTACTTTGACTTGTGTTTTCCTTGGAATATTTATGAGAAACACATATCTTTTTGTTTATATAATTATTTTTATAATTATACTTTTTTATGTTTTATCGACAGATTATGCAGCCGTAGCGACGATAAGCACTCGAAAAGATATTGATACATATCCTGTTGCGAATGTAATCGCTTACAGCGATGGACTTATTGGAAATGGCACTGGAATACCTTATATGTATATTACCACTCATGACCATTACACAACCATTGTACAAGATCTCGATGTAAGTAAATCATATATATATAATGTAATCATAATATACAATGTGTATTGTAGAAAATTTGATGTGCGAGAAAGTAAAATGTCAAAATGAAACGTCAAAACGAATAAGAAAATTTTGTTATAAAAAAATTTCAAGTCATTTGGTGTATCCATGCAATGTTGCGATATTAATTATATTTTCAATTGGTCATCATATCATATCTTCTGATAAATTAAACCAATAATGTTTTGACAATAGGTTTTTGTATAATTTACATCATTATTTAATTCTATAATTAATTAATGATAGAAAAGCGGATCAGTTGTCAGCAGTATATCAGTTTTCTTCCTTCTCAACCTCTCCTTTTGCATATACGTTGAAATATTTGGTCATACATTATCTTGAATTAAAATATTATAATTAAATTAATCATTTAGCTTGTCTTTAAAAGGATCAAATCAATCACTTATTAATAAGAAAATTGGGAAAAATATCACAGCTTATATATATGTTTCTTTTGACAAAATTTTAATTTCCTTAATGCAATATTTTTTATCATATTAATAAAGTATCTAATTTATCTATTATGTCAAATATTTTGATGATCATATAATATAAATGCATTATTGCAGAAAGACAATCGCGCGACCCTTCTAATATCATTAGTATTAACAAATTATTGTGGAAATAATTTGGATGTAATGAACAAGCGATGTCCTAGCGTTTTGCTAACTGGAAAATTTGCAGCAGTCTGTATAAATTGTTACATTCTATTTATATTATTTGTATTATATTGATTTATTTATTATTTAAATTAATAATTAAATATAATTATAATTTTAATTATTATTATTATTAACATATTCAATTTAATTTATTCATTTTCAATTTTATATTATTATTATTAACATTGAATTATTATTATTATATAACGTTTAATTATTATTATTAATAGTTTCATTATTATTAATGGTAGGTGAACGATACTGCAGAGTATGAAACTGAAGCACAATTATTCTCCAAACGTCATCCGACATTGGAAAATCGGATTTCAGGTAATATCATATTTTATTACAGAATATCACTTAAAAATTGCATCAAATGACACTGTATTATTTATTTATATAGATCATTCTAAAGCCTACCTCGTCAAGTTCGACATACAAGAGATCGCTTTGGTAGACTTTAATATTGGAACAAAATACATTTCAATGGAAGATTATTTTCGTCCGCCGGTAAATCATATCGTAAATTAATTATACAACCGTTTTCTTGAGGAACACAAGTTTTCTCGTGTCTAATGAGTAGATTCGGTAAATATTATCACTAATAATCGTATGATATTGCTTTCTTTGAAAGAAGAAGCTAAAAGAAAATTTATATCTTTCAAAAATAGTAATCATATTATGTAATCATATATGTAATCATTATTATGTTGATATATTGGAAATAAATTGACTGCAAATATAAATTAATAAATGTCATTATTAAAATCCTTCATTTATATTCCTTGATTTAAATTTTCAATGCTTTTTATTTCTTTTCCATAGATTTTTTATTTCTTTTTCATAGATTATCTTACCAATTATTTTTTTATTGCTGTATATGTATATCATGTATGACAAATTAAGCACGCTTCTGTCAACGCTTGTGTTACTGCGCATGCGAAAGATTTTTCTCTTGTTTATGAAATAAGTAGATTTATGGCCATCATACACGAAATTGCATAGCTGCATATGCATAACATAAGACCAATGAGCATCGAGTATTATGTTATATAAGTCAATATGGCGATTTAATACTCGATGCTCATTGATACATATGGTCTTATGTTATGCATATGCAGCTATGCAATTTCGTGTGAGATGGTTCTTACGAGAAGCGTTCTATTTGAACCATAGCACCGAGATACTAATAAAGACCGATAGTTATATGGGATTTAGCGTAACCAGAAAAAAACGTGCAAAGTGCTGCTGTAAGTAACAAAATCTTTACATTATCAATAATAAAATAATGATTTGATACATAATTTGTCATTTTTTAAACAAGTTCATAAAAGATTTATACAATTTCGATAATAAAACAATAGCTGAATGTCCTAAAATACTCTTATGATTTAAATAACTCTTATAATTGTATTCAATAAAATCTAAACGGCCAGTAATATCATCAATCTTCCTTTATCTCTGAGCCCATCATGCCCACTTGATGGTCACGAAAATTTACCCAGGGCTGTCGGTCTTTAACCACAGATATCTATACTAGAATACTAACTTGCGTCAAATGCATACCTATAAAATTTATGTACTAAATTCTCACGCATACGTAACGTAGGTGAACAGCAGTCACGTGTATGGTTGATGATTATACATAAGTATGTAATTTGTGTACAAACTTACAGTTGAATAAAAGTTATTTTTAAATAATGTATAACCTTCTTCGTTTTTAATTAAAATTTATTACAGCCTAAAGATAAAATATATCAAAATATATTAAAAAGATATATGATATAATTAAAATCAAGATTAAAAATATATATAGAAGATTAAAAATATATAAAGATTAAAAATATATGTATATAACATTTATATATATTTATATTTATTTTATTACAACATTAAAAGTTTATAATGTAAAAAGTATAATTTTTAAGGTAAAAACTTAAGTTGACTACAAGTGTCCACCGTATTCCACCAATATTACGCGCGACCACCATATAATAGTTTTCGGAACAATTTTATGTAACATTGGGAGTTTTAAGAGAATACTCGACTGTGATTGGTTAATTTCTTAAGTCTTACGCCTTTAAATCTCATTGTAGACGTTGGTTTATCGGTCTAGTTATAGTATAGATATCTGTGTCTTTAACGGTATGGGCTCCCACACACGAAATTGCATAGCTGCATATGCATAGCTTAAGACCATATGAACTAATGAGCATCGAGTATTAAGTCGTCATATTGACTTACATAACGTAATACTTAATGTTCATTGATCCATATGATCTTATGTTATGCATATGCAACTACGCAATTTCGTGTGTGACGACCCTATCTCATCGGTAACCATTGCTATTCACAGCGGCAAAGTTTTTCCAATAGACCAATTAATTAAAGGATCCTAAATTGGATGTGGACGTGGATATCAGTAGATTTACATGCTTTCTTAGGATGGTTTTTCACTTGAAGCTCGACGCTCATTTTCAAAAACATCACGTGACTAAAAATAAAGATACCAATTCGTCATTTTTTGATCACATGATAGCCTTTCAAGCTAAAAGTGAGCGTCGAGCGTCAAATAAAAACCTACCCTTATCTATGTTATAAATTTACGTACGATATGTACATTGAAAGATCTGAAGAAGTAATTTTTTCGTTATATATGCATATATGTATCATTACAGAATCCAGGGAAAAAAATATCAACCTAAATTAACAATCTTACCTTATTTTTTCGAAAATTTGAATGACAATCGAAAACATGAATCTTAATATCAGTTTGATTACGTTATATAAAAATAAATTCTTAAATATGCTGCAATATTGTAAATTAAAAATGTTTATTTTTAGTTTGTTTTAAAAAGATATTATATTTTATCGTTGTTTATTTTGAATGACACTTAGTTTAAATAATAACGCGTCGTTACATAAAATTCTATACGCACATGATGCGTTATTGAACTGATACTCGCGATACATGTTCGGCTAAATTTAGTTTACGAAGTTCCACTTTTATGACGATCTTTACAGTCACCGCCTTACATTAATCACAAAATTTATAAAAGGCACGCAGAAACGACCAATGCATTTGTACTTAAGCCGCATCTTTAACAAGAACATTATAGAATAGAAGCCGCTTCTCTTACAATCGAAAACAATAAATACATGAAACTTAATTTCGATTTGATTACGTTACATAAAAGTAAATTCTTAAATACGCCGCAATATTGTAAATGAAAAATGTTTATTTTTAGTTTGTTTTAAAAATATATTATATTTTATTGTTGTTTATATTTTGAATGACACTTAGTTTGAATAATAACGCGTCGTTACATAAAACGCTGTACATGAAATATTTCTAATGAAGCTAATTTGAAAAATAACGCGTTGTTACGTAAAACGCGTCGTTACATAAAACGCTGTACATGATGTGTTAAGATCATTGAATGGACACTCGCGATACACATGCCGAATTTAATTTATGATGTTCGACTCTTACTACGATCTGCATCGCTTTACATTAATCACAACGCTTATTATAAAAGGCGCGCAGTAGCGACCAATTCATTTGTGCTTAAATCTCATCTTCAACAAGAACATTATCAAGCAGAAGCCGCTTCTTTTATTGTAAAAAGCTTTCGGTGCAGTGACAATTCTAACGATGATGTTCCGAATCGCAAGCGTTATTGCTTTTTGCGCTTTATTAAGCGAGGCACGTAACTACAACCTCGAGGACCACCATCGAGGGACTGATATTCGAGATCAAGATCTACCACCGGTAGATCAGCCAGCTTTAGTGGCTAGATATATCGTTAATCAAGCTGGTAATTAACCAACATAGTATTATTGGTAAAAAATTCGAAAATTAAAAATGAAGTACATATATAATATAATGTAGTATGTAACAATATTACCCTTAATAAATTATCGTGACTCTGCATTACGGTTATATGTACTAATTTTCTACTAATATATATATCATCCTATACATATCTTAACAGCACGTATATTGTTAATGCAAAATATATATTATATGTTCTCTGTATGTTTTCTTTAGACATTTTATTAACGTGTATATCACTCAAAAAAATGATCTTGCAACTATAGCAAAAATTTTCTAAATGCGAAAAATTAACTAAGGCAGATAAACGATTAGCGAATATTGTAATATCGTATATATGTTGCACGTAATCAATCTAAATGACAGAGACAGAATTTATATCTGAACTGTTTGTGAAATTTAGAAAGAAAGTTTTTCTGTGGCGTCTATCCATATTATGATCAATCCATATTTGTTATAAAGTTTGGCTGTAGTACACAAAATACTAGCAGCAAGAACAAATGAATATATAATCCTAAATTTTCTAGCAGATATTGCTAGAATGTTACTGCTATAAGTTCTAGCTGTGACAAACGATATTCTATCAGATACAAAAAATAGCGATGAATTTTGATTGCAACATCTAGAAATCTGCCTACATTAACAAAACATTTTTTTGAGTGATTGTTAGGATTATATACATTTACAAGTATTTATACAGATTGTTAGGATTATATACATTTACAAGTATTTATATTTTAGTTTTTTTTAAAATTTAATTAAACAATACGAACAAATTTTGACAAAAGAAATTTTCACAATCTGTATATTTTTATAAAAAAATATTTATATCGAAATTCATTATCGAAAATTAAAGCTGAAATTATAATAGAAACAATATGCGCGCGTTTCATATTTTATTATATATTTTACAAAAAATATACGAAATAAACGAAATATAGGCCGATATTCATAGTCTGTTCTCATATTTAAGATCATCTTAAGTAAGATTTGAAAATGTTATACGGCTATTTCATTGGCTGAAAAATCTTAACACGACCTAAAACCAGACTTAAGACAATCTTAAATATAAGATCGGACTATGAAATACCGGCGATAGAAGTAGCGAGTTATATTGAGTATATGTATATATGTATATGTAATATGCGCTGTTTGTTCTTTGCTTACCGTTGATCTTGTCCTAGCACATATTTGGCTAGATATCGATTAATAAAAAAAAATCATGCGCTGTATTAAGCATGTACAACGATTTCTTCGAATATTATGATACTCGAAATAATTTTATTTTTTTAAAAAGAAATCAGAGAATAGAAATCCATTGAAAATTACAAAATTCTATCATTTTCACTTTAAAATATTTCAATTCTTCTCTTGCATATAAGATAAAAGACAAAGAAACATGAATTGTAAATACAATTCGATCCATCGCATACAATCGAATGCATTAATGATGTATTCGGCATTTAAATATTTAAATATTGTATCTCTGCGATCACAATAATACAAAAATTAAGCCAATTTGATGTCATATTGATTAAATTTATGTCTAAATATGTTTTGGACTACATATATTTAACACCAATGTGATATCAAATAAGATTACTTTGACTTGTGTTTTCCTTGGGATATTTATGAGAAACACATATCTTTTTGTTTATATAATTATTTTTATAATTATACTTTTTTATGTTTTATCGGCAGATTATGCAGCCGTAGCGACGATAAGCATTCATAAAGATACTGATACATATCCTTTTGCGAATTTATTCTCTATCAGCGATGGACCTATTGGAAATGGCACTGGAATACCATATATGTATCTTATCCCTCTTCACTACACTTCTGAAAATCTGGATGTAAGTAAACATCGTACACTTATAATGTAATCGTAATATACAACGCGTATTCTAAAATATTTGATGAGGGAAAGTAAAATGTCAAAAAAAAACGTGAAAAAGAATAAGAAAATTTTGTTATAAAAAAAATTTCAAGTCATTTGGTGTAACCATGCAATATTGCGATATTAATTATATTTTTAATTGGTATATCATATCTTTGATAAATTAAACCGATAATAATGATTTGGCAATAGGTTATGGTAGAATTTACATCATTATTTAATTCTATAATTAATTAATCATGGAAAAGTGTATCAGTTGTCAACTGTCAATTATCAGTTGACAGCTGTCAGTTGCGTCAGCTTTATATCAGTTTTCTTCCTTCTCAACCTTCCCTTCATGATAACCATTAAAATATTTTGTCATACATTATCTTGAATTGATATATTATAATCAAATTAATCATTTAGCTTGTCATTAACGGGTTAAATCAATCACTTATTGATAAGAAAATTGGGAAAAATATCACATCTTATATACATGTTTCTATACATGTTTCTTTTTACAAAATTTTAATCTCTTTAATGCAATCTTTTTTATTTTATTGGTAAAATATCTAATTTATCTATCACGTCAAATATTTTGACGATCATATTATATAAATGCTTCATTATTGCAGAAAGATAATCGCGCGACTCTTCTAGTGTCATTGGCGGAAGGAAGTTATTGCAAAGATGAACATTTGGATCCAATGGACCCGCGAGAGGTCAATGGAGTGCTAGAGTTACGCTAACTGGAATAATTGTACCAGTCAGTATAAATTGTTACATTTCATTTATATTATTTGTATTATATTGATTTAATTATTATTTAAATTATTAATTAAATATAATTATAGTTTTAATTATTATTATTATTAACATTTTCAATTTTATATTATTATTATTAACATTAAATTATTAGTATTAACATTTACTTCTTATTATTAACGTTTAATTATTATCATTAATGGTTTCATTGTAGGTGAACGATACTGCAGAGCTTAAAACTGTAACACAATTATTCTTCGGTCGTCATCCGGCATTGCAAAATTTGCTCGCAGGTAATATTGCATTTTATTACAGAATATCACTTAAAAATTGCATCAAATGACATTGTATTATTTATTTATATAGATTATAAACCCTACTTCGCCAAGTTAATCCCAAATGTAATCAATGTGTTAGACAACTTTGGTGGATCAAAATACATTTCAGTGGAAGATTATTATCATCCGCTGAATCATACCGTAAATAAATTATATGAAGGTGCCTTTGTGTCTAACATCGTGTCTAACATCATGTCTAATGAGTAGATTCGGTAAATACTATCACTAATGAATTCCCCGAGGTTTAATAATCGTATGACATTGCTTTCTCCGAAGGAAGAAGTTGAAAAAGAATATATATATTTCAAAAATAGATATATAATCATATCATATAATATGTTATATTGATGTATTGGAAATAAATTGACTGCAAATATAAATTAATAAATGTCATTATTAAAATCTTTCATTTATATTCCTTGATTGAAACTTTCAATGTTTTTTATTTCTTTTCGATAGATTTTTTATTTCTATTTTATAGATTATCATACCAATTATTTTTTATTGCTATATCGTGTATGACAAATTAAACACTCGCTTCTATCAACGCTTGTGTTACTGCGCATGCATAAGATTTTTCTCTTGTTTATAAAATAAGTAGATTTATGGCCATCACACACGAAATTGCATAGCTGCATATGCATAACATAAGACCAATGAGCATCAAGTATTATATTATATAAGTCAATATGGCGACTTAATACTCAATGCTCATTGATTCATATGATCTTATGTTATGCATATGCAGCTATTCAATTTCGTGTGAGATGATCCTTACGAGAAGCATTCTATTTGAAACATAACACCGACGAAATACTATTAAAGACCGATGATGTTACGGGATTTAGCGTGACCCGAAAGAAACGTGCAAAGTGCTGCTGTATGTAACATAATCTTTACATTGTCGATAATAAAATAATGATTTGATACATATTTTGTCATCTTTAAAACAGGTACATAAAAGATTTATACATTTTTGATAATAAAACAATAGCTGAATGTCCTAAAATATATCCTAAAAGAATGTTCTCTTATGATTTAAATAACTCTTATAATTGTCTTCAATATAATTCAAAACGGCCAGTAATATCATCTTCTATTATCTCCGGGCCCATCGTACCCAATTGGTGGTCACGAAAATTTACTCAGGGCTGTCGATCTTTAACAGTATCTCGTCGGTGCCATAGCCATTCACAGCGGCAAAGTTTTTCCACTAAACCAATCAATTGAAAGATCCTTTATTGGATGTGAACATGATCACTAGATTTACATGGATTTACATGCTTTCTTAGGATGGATTTTCACTTGAAGCTCGACGCTCATTTTCTAGCGTCAAAAAACATCACGTGAGGAAAAATGAAGATACCAATTCTTCATTTATTGATCACATGATGTCTTTTGACTCTAAAAATGAGCGTCGAGCGTCAAATAAAAACTCACTCTTATCTATGTTATAAATTTTTATGAAATATATAAATACGCATACGTGGATACATTCATTTCATATAACATACGATATATAAATTGGAATATCTGAAAAAGTCGTATTTTCGTTATATATGCATATATGGATTATTACAGAATCCAGGGAAAAAATATTAATCTTAATTAACAATCTTATTTTATTTTTTCGACAATTGGAATGACAATCGAAAACATGAATCTTAATTTCGGTTTGATTACGTTATATACAAGTAAATTTTTAAAATTAAACGAATCAGTTTTAATGGCAATGCAAGTCGATCTAACACAGTTATTTATTATACAAACAAATAAGTATGGAACAAATTACAATGAAAACATTGCGAACATTTCGACCCTATTTTTGGACCCTCTTCTGCGCAAATGTGATGATAAAAAATAACAAATGTTTTATCGGAATCAATTATAAAGTTTGCCATCTAAAGTAAAGATAAATGTTTGGAAGTAAATTTTATTTTGTAGTTTTAACTTTTTAACTTTTTAATATTTATTTCTATATGATTCTATATTTAGTTTATATTTATTCGAATTATTCTAATTGTTATTGATTTTTAAAAAATTGACATGGGAATTTTAACCTCTTAATTTTTCAAGTTTAATTTCATTACTTATTTCCTCTTTTGTTATTCATATTAGTTTACATTATCTATTTAATTTTTTACTTTTTGTTTTTTAATTTCATATAACTTTTCTTTGACAAATTTGACTGATTTTATTACAGGCATCGTCAAAATAATGAGATAACGAAACATTTATTTTTACTTTAGACGGCACTTTATAATTGACTCCGATAAAACCTTTGTTATTTTTTATCATCACATTTGCGCTGAAGAGGGCCTGAAAAATAGGGTCGAAACGTTCGCAATCTTTTCATTGTAATTTCTTCCATACTTATTTGTTCGTATAATAAATAACTGTGTTATAAAATCGACACTTGACTCGTATTGCCATTAAAACTGATTTGTTTAATGTTATATTTCGAGACTTATATTTTTAATAATTGTAAATTCTTAAATATGTTACAATATTGTAAATTAAAAATGTTTAAATTTTAAAAAATATTATATTTTATCATTCTTTATGCTTTGAACTTTTGACACTTATTTGAATACTAACACGTCGTTACATAAAACGCACTTGATGTATTAAAATCATTGGACGGACACTCGCGATACACGTGTGCCTAAATTTTATTTATGATGTTCGACTCTTATTACGATCGTCACAGTCATCGCCTTACATTAATCACAAAGTTGATAAAAGATATGTAATAACGACCAATGCATTTATGCTTAAGCTTCATCTTCAACAAATAAACATTATCGAATAGAAGCCGCTTTCCTTACAATAAAAAACAATGAATATATAAATCTTAATTTCGATTTGATTACGTTACAGAAAAGTAAATTCTTAAATATGCTGCAATATTGTAAATTAAAAATGTTTATATTTGTTTTAAAAAGATATTATATTTTATCGTTGTATATATTTTGAATGACACTAATTGGAATAAAAACGCGTTGTTACATAAAACGCTGTACGTGCAAGATGCGTTAAGATCATTGAATGGACACTCGCGATACAAGTGCCGTATTTAATTTATGATGTTCGACTCTAATTATGATCTGCATCGCCTTACATTAATCACAAAGTTTATTATAAAAGGTGCGCAGTAGCGACCAATTCATTTGTGATTAAACCTCATCTTCAACAAGAACATTATCGAGTAGAAGCCGCTTCTCTTATTGTAAAAAGCTTTCGGTGCAGTGACAATTCTAACGATGATGTTGCAAATCGTGAGCGTTATCGCTTTTTGCGTTTTATTAAGCGAGGCACGTATCTTCAACGTTGAAAGGAACAGGACTCATCATTCTCATCATCGAGCTCATGATTTACCACCGAAGGCTCATCATCGAACTCATCATCGAACTCATTTACCACCGGCAAATGAGACAGCTTTAGTGGCTAGATACATCGTTAATCATGCTGGTAATTGATCAACGTAGTATTATTGATAGAAAATTAAAAAATTAAAAATGAAGTATATATATATATATATATATATATATATATATATATAAAACGTATTATAGTATATGTAACATGTATATAGTATATGTAACAATATTACTCTTAATAAGTTGTCGTGACTCTGTATTACGGTTATATGTACTACTTTTCCACTAATATGTCCCAAAACTCATAATCAATCTTTCAAAGACAGATTCCTGGGATCATTTGGAGACGATTTTTCCTCAGCGAAAATGTCGATGAAGACCATCATTTTTTGCATATTCCCGATTTTTGTCATCATATATCTTTGCAATTAAGCCTTAAATTAAAACTCAACTAAAGTAAACTCTATTTAAAATTAATCGAAGAATGTGGTTTTGTTAATATTTTATTTCTGCAAAGCTTAGTTTACGAAAAACCCCTTATTTCCAATCACTTATAATTCGAAAATTATTAGTGCCTCGATATTTTCGTTGAGAAAAAATCGTCTTCAGATGATCCCAGGAATCTGTCTTTGAAAGATTGATTATGAGTTTTGCGACACCCTATGTATATCATTCTACACACACCCTAACAGCATGTATATTGTTAATGCAAAATGTATATTATATGTTCTCTGGATATTTTTTAGACATTTTTTTAAACATGTATATTCTCATATAGTATCCTATGTCCAAAAGACATTAACAGGCCATCCTGAAGATGTCTAATCGTCCAAAGATATCTTCTGGATACCTTCTAGACATTTTTGGATATGCATACTATGTGAGTTGTTAGGGTATATATATTTACAAGTTTTTACATTTAAATTCTTTTAGAGATTAAAAACAAACAAATTTCGGCAAAAGAATTTTTCACAATTTGTGTATTTTTATAAAAAAATATTCATATCTTCAGTATCGAAAATTAAAGCTGGAATTATAATAGAAACACTATGCGCATTTTATATTTTATTATATGTCTTACAAAAAATATACGAAATAAACGAAATATAGGCCGGAGTTCATAGTCCGTTCTTATATTTAAGATCATCTTAATCTTAATAAGTTTTAAAAATGTTATACGGCTATTTCATTGGCTAAGGAATCTTAAGACGACTTATGACGATCTAAGACCAGACATAAGACAATCTTAAATATAAGAACGGACTATGAATATCGGTCATAAAAGTAGCGAATTGTATTAAGTATATATATATATGTGTGTGTGTGTGTGTGTGTGTGTGTGTGTGTGTGTGTGTATATATGTAATGCGTTATTTGCTTTTGTCTTACTATTGATCTTAAGCCATGCATATATTTTTCTAGATATCGATTAATAAAAAATTCATGCTATGTACAACGATTTCTTTGAATATTACAATACTCATAAAATAATTTTATTGTTTTAAAGAGAAATCAGAGAATAGAAATCCTCATTAAAAATTACAAAATTCTATCATTTTTACTTTAAAATATTTCAATTCTTCTCTGGCATAAAAAACAAAGAAACATGACTTGTGAATACAATTCGATCCATCGCGCATACAATCGAATGCATTAATGATGTATTCGGGACTCAAATATTTAAATATTGTATCTCTGCGATCACAGTAATACAAAAATTAAGCCTATTTGATATTATATTGAACAAATTTATGTCTAAATATGTTTTGATCTATATATTTAATATCAATAATATGTCAAATAACATTACTTTGACTTGTCTTTTCTTTGGGATATTTATGAGAAACACATACCTTTTTGTTTATACACTTTTTAAGATAATTATTTTTATAATTATACTTTTTTTATGTTTTATCGGCAGAGTGGGCAGCCATAGCGACGGTAAGCGTTCAAAAAGATACTGATACATATCCTGTTGCGGATGTAGTCTCTATCAGCGATGGACCTATTGAAAATGGCACTGGAATACCATATATGTATATTACCCCTCTTGACACCACTACTCAAAATCTGGATGTAAGTAAACATCGTACACATATATAATGTAATCGTAATATACAATGCGTATTCTAGAATATTTGATGAGAGAAAGTAAAATGTCAAAAAAAACGTGAAAAAGAATAAGAAAATTTTGTTATAAAAAAAATTTCAAGTCATTTGGTGTATCCATGCAATATTGCGATATTAATTATATTTTTAATTGGTATATCATATCTTTGATAAATTAAACCGATATAATGTTTTGGCAATAGGTTATGGTATAATTTACATCATTATTTAATTCTCTAATTAATTAATCATGGAAAAGCGTATCAGTTGTCAACTGTCAATTGTCAGCTGTCAGTTGTCAGCTGTCAGTTGGCGTCAGCTTTATATCAGTTTTCTTCCTTCTCAACCTTCTCTTCATGATAATCATTAAAATATTTTGTCATTCATTATCTTGAATTTATATATTATAATCAAATTAATCAATTAGCTTGTCATTAAAGGCTCAAATCAATTACTTATTGATAAGAAAATTGGGAAAAATATCACATCTTATATACATGTTTATATACATGTTTCTTTTTACAAAATTTTAATCTCTTTAATGCAATATTTTTTATTTTATTGATAAAATATCTAATTTATTTATCACGTCAAATATTTTGACGATCATATTATATAAATGCTTTATTATTGCAGAAAGATAATCGCGCGACTCTTCTAGTGTCATTGGCGGAAAAAAGTTATTGCAAAGATAAACATTTAGATCCAATGGACCCGCGATGTGCTAAAGTTACGCTAACTGGAATAATTGTACCCGTCAGTATAAATTGTTACATTTCATTTATATTATTTGTATTATATTGATTTAATTATTATTATTTAAATTATTAATTATTATTATTTAAATTATTAATTAAATATAATTATAGTTTTAATTATTATTATTATTAACATTTTCAATTTTATATTATTATTATTAACATTAAATTGTTAGTATTAACATTTAATTATTATTATTAACGTTTAATTATTATCATTAATGGTTTCATGGTAGGTGAAAGATACTGCAGAGCTTAAAACTGTAACACAATCTTTCTTCGGTCGTCATCCGGGATTGCAAAATTTGCCCGCAGGTAATATCTCATTTTATTACAGAATATCACTTAAAAATAGTATCAAATGACATTGTATTATTTATTTATATAGATCATCACTTCTACTTTGCCAAGTTAGAAATACTTAACATCGATTTGTTAGACGGCTTTGGTGGATTAAAACACATTTCAGTGGAAGATTATTATCATCCGTCGCTGAATCATACCGTAAATAAATTATACGAACGTGCCTTTGTGTCTAACATCGTGTCTAACATCGTGTCTAATGAGTAGATTCGGTAAATACTATCACTAATGAATTCCCCGAGTTTTAATAATCGTATGACATTGCTTTCTCTGAAGGAACAAGTTGAAAAAGAATTTATATTTTTCAAAAATAGATATATAATCATATTATGTGATGTTGATGTATTGGAAATAAATCGATTGCAAATATAAATTAATAAATGTCATTATTACATTCCTTCATTTATATTCCTTGACTTAAACTTTCAATGTTTTTTATTTCTTTTCCATAGATTTTTTATTTCTTTCTCAGATTATCTTTCCAATTATCTTTTATTGCTGTATATCATGTATGACAAATTAAACACGCGCTTCTGTCAACGCTTGTGTTACTGCGCATGCGATAGATTTTTTTCTTTTTCATGAAATAAGTAGATATACGAGAAGCGTTCCATTTGAACCGTAGCCATTCACAATGGAAATTTTTCCACTAGACCAATCAATTGAAAGATCCTGAATCGGACATAAATGCCATATTATATTACTAGATTTGCACGGATTTACATGCTTTCCTATCTATGCTATAAATTTTTATGAAATATATAAATAGGCGCACGTGGATGTATTCATTTCACATATCGTACGGTATGTACACTGGAATAGCTGAAAAAGTGTCTTTTCAAGATCGAAAAATACAAAATATAAATAAACATATTTGGAAATAATTTTATTTCAGTAATAACTTTTAATTATTATTAGTGTGCAGCAAAATTACGTGACAGGTTATGTCTTTCCGAGGACGCGGCGGTGGTTTTAGAGGAGCCGGTGGTTTCAGAGGTGGCCGAGGTGGCGGAGGATTTAATAGAGGACGTGGCGGCGGTTTTGATAGAGGCAGAGGGTATCTCATCAATATTGAAAATATTATTGATATCATACAAAATATTGCTTAATTAAATTTTTTTAAGTTAATTACAAGACATCTTAAGTAAACATTGTTTTTTTGTCAATCATATAGGTATGATCAAGGGCCTCCAGAAACAGTAACACCATTAGGACACTATCAGTGGCCTGTAGAAGATATGATAGTTGTTAAAGGAGAAATTGAACAAATACCGTTTTTTAATGCACCCATTTATATGGCGAATAAACAACAAATAGGAAAGATAGATGAAATATTTGGTAATATTCGTGACTATTATGTATCTGTTAAGTTAGAAAATGCAAAGCCCTCCAGTTTTGAGAAAGATGCTCAGGTATGTCGATATTAAATATAAGAAGCTTATATAAAAGTTTACTATTTCTATTAATTTGTATTAGTTTTACATGGATATTATGTATTATCTAATTGTTATTTATTTGTTTTAGTTGTACATTGATCCAGCAAAACTGCTGCCTCTCCAAAGGTTTTTACCGAAACCTCCCGGAGAACAGAAAAGAGGTGGCGGAGCTGGTCGAGTTATGAAAAGAGGTGGCAATGCTGGAGGAAGGAGAGGAGGTGGTGGTAGAGGTGGCAGAGGAGGAGGCTTTGGTAATAGAGGTGGTAATGATGGAAGATTTAGAGGACATGGAGGAGGTGGTGGATTCAATCGTAACAGTTCAGGAGGAGGTGGTGGATTCAATCGTAACAGTTCAGGTGGAGGTCGTGGGGGAGGAAGAGGACGGTGGTAGAATCTAAGAATAATTTTATAAGGAGTATATTTTTTTCAAAATAAGTAACAAATCCTCTATAAGATATGACTATATATATATATATATATAATTGTATTATACATCATAAGAATAAATATTCTGGCTGTGTGACAGAACTAAATGTATTTCGTATAATTATTCTTTTAATAGTAACTTTACTTTTATTGATGGTTTAATTATATATTAGCAATGATGCCAGTATTTATATATACATGTGCATACATTATATGCATGCATTGTAGCATAATGTATATATAAACATTAAAAATTTTATAAAAAAAATTGAATGAGAAAGAAAGATAATCTAAATCAATCTTGATCAAACTTTATACATTTTCCAAGTTTTTTCTCTGCCCTTTTCAACAATTTATCACGTCCTCTTTGCTTGACTCTTCCCTTTCTATTCAATTTTTCTTCCCGGTCACGCGCTATTTTATCCCAGTATGATTTCTCATCTTCATCTAAAAAATTTATATATAAAATATTAATATATATACATTAATAATTGATATATATATATATATATATATATATATATATATATATACACACATGATCGGTAGATTAATCAATATATTGAATATATTGAGATATAATTCTAATATATATTTGCCTTTTAAAATTGTTAGGCATCTTCCTTCATAATTCTTTTGCACGAGCGATTGTGCAGCTTCTGCTGTATCACATCTTATGTAGGCTTCACAGGAACCATGTGTTACATCTATATATTTCACAGAATTGTTATCTTTTAATTCCATCTGAAATAAATATTTAAATGTAATATTTAAAATATATATTAATAATTTTATTACAAATATGTAAAATTATATAGAATTATAAAGAACAGATATATTAAATCTGTAATAATTCTGATGTACCTTGAAACTCTGTGGATCTGTGCAAGGTTCATCCATTTCAACTTTCACTATAATCCCTGGTGTATAATTAATCCGTCCATAAAGTGATTTTTCTGTCTCGCTAATCTTTCCATTATCTTTTTCATTTTTTAATTTATAATTTAATCCAGGTGTTTCATAATACCATTTTTTTCCTGTCATATTTTCACTTTTTTTCAAATGCCCTTTCAGTAGTTGCATTTTAGTTCTTTGCAAATCTAAATATTTGTTTCTAAGACGTTTCCAATCTGGTTTTGCCATCACATGCAATCCTAGAGCATTACAAATATCATCAGCCATAATATCATCTTTTTTCCTCTTTTTTCGATTTTTCTTCTTCTTTTTTTCATCAACATTAGCTTCCTCCATATCGCTATTTGTTATTTCATCTCTTGTCATGGAATGTTTTTCAGTTTGTAATTTACCATCTGCCTCGTTATTTGTTATTTTGCCATCATCACTTGTATTTAGATATACCAATTTTGTTCCTTTATTTTTATTTGATTTAATTGCTGATTTATGAGATTCTTTTTTCACTTCCCCACTGATATTTTCCACAACATTAGTATCATCTATAGTGTGTCTTTTTTTCTTCTTTTCCGTGATTTTACGATTATTTTTATTTAAAATTTCTTGATTTTTTTCTGTACTACTGTTTTCAGTGATATCAATTTTGATGTCGCTTTCATCCGTGACAAATAATTTTTCAGAAGCAAGTTTCCTCTTTTTTACACTTTGTTTATTACTATTATTAGCTACATTTGTTTCATTGTCACATGTTTTATCACTATCTTCGATTTCATCTTTTGAGGCCTTTTCTTTTTCATTCTGCTGATCTGCTATGCTATGATCCATAGTTTCTTTTCTTTTTTTCTTGATTTTAATATTTTCTGTACTTTCATCTGTATTAAATGATTTTTCTGAAACAAGTTTTCTTTTTCTTAGATTTTGTTTATCAATATTATCTGTTATATTCGTTTCATTATTGCAAATATTATCATTGTTTTCACTTTCATTTTCTAATGTTTTTTCTTTTTGAATATTTTCTAATTTCATTTTCTTAAAATTTGTATTATATGTTGGAAATGAATCTTTATTTTCGTTTGTTTCATTAAAAGTACTTATACTTAATACATCATGGGGAGCTGTATTGTATGGTAAAACACATCCTTTTTTTTGAAATGCCTGAAAAATATATCATAATATGAAATAAAAAAAAAATTGTAAATATATCTAATTTTTTTATTAATTTACAAATATACAACAATATAGTCATATTGATATCATTTTTCTATTTTCTCACCTCAATACATTCTTGGGCACTGTTTATTGTATCAAATTCTATAAATGCAAACCCTTTTATCTTTCTATTGCTCTTGTAGCGAGGAATCGAGACATATTCTACCGATCCAAATTTAGAAAAAATAGATATTAACCAATCGTGATCAGCATCTGGAGGTAAATCTTGTACATAAACTGTACATTCATCTACATTTTCCTTTCTGTTAATTGGTGTTAATCGACAGACCTTTGTACCATCTTCTGACACTTTTAATATGGTTGATTTCTGTAGAGCCTTAGCTATTCTATTTGTGTCCATGGTTAGTTCGCGCAATTTGTTAAATCGTGTGAATACATTAAGATCTATATCTATAGAAAAAGACAAATTAATTTTTTGATATTTAAAAAAATCAAAGTATCAAATAATGCTATATCATATTAGATAAATCTAGTCATTAAACTTAGATAATTAAGAATATAAAAAAGGAAAGTATACTTACAGGAGTTTTCTTTCAGTAGCTCGGATAGAAAACGATCTTTACTCAAGTTTGCATCACTGAAATAAAACTCCATTTGCTTAAGTATTGATGCATGCAATGCTTTCTTCCTCAATCTTGGTTTACTATGTGAAACACTTGATTTATTGTTTCGTTTAATTGTATCAATTTTTAATTCTTGTACTTGAGGAACTGGAATATTTTCCGAAGCTAGTTCCATATTTGATCCCTGTTCTTCCATCACCATTGTATTTTCAAAAAATCATAAAACAAACTTTCTAATAAAATATATAGTCCATGTATTTCAAGAATGGTTTATTGACTATATTGTTTCTATAAATAAATTTTGATAATCAGTTTTTTGAGCAAATTATTTTATCTAACAAATAATTTTCCTTACATACGTGATATGTATATCAAAATATTTATTTTCTAGTTTAAATAAAACTTGGTAATATTATTTGAATTATATGAAAATAATTGAAATAATACAATATGATGAACAGTTATAAACTGTTAGATATTTTTTGTAAGATTATGAAATATATCGATCTATTTTATTTATATTTTTTTTGCGTTTCACATTTTTTCTTTGCCAAAATACCTATGTAAATGTAAATGAAACTTCACAGAAATTAACGAAATATACTCTGTAGAATATATATTTACCTTATTTGTAATTCTCGATATTAATAATAATTACAATACACATAGGTTATGAGAACCGGTAAAAAAAAACGAACTTCTGTAACTAGCTGTACCAGGTTCACTGTATTTTATTTTAACAATTAAAGTTTGCCAAAGTATTTGCAGGCTCACTCGATGAATATATTACTACCACGATCTACCCAAAATTTTTTTATTTTTTTTTTAGATATCGATCTGACAAACTGCCTTTTTATCGCAAGAAAGAAGACTGAGAGATGTCATAGCATACTCCCTCTGTCGACATTAAAAACGTGAACATAAACTACAAAGCCAATGTCCACGAATGTTCTCAGAGGGTAACATACATGTCTCTGATAATATAAATAATATAAATAAAAATATAAATAATTTATTATATAAAAATATTAGCATGTTCTCTCTTTTCACACTATTATTTATTTATTTATTTATGTGTCTTCTTTTTCTTTTCAATATCATTTATTTATTTATTTATTTAGCTCGCTAGTCAATCTTTTAAAATGTAAAACTAAATATTATAGAATTTGACTTCGGAAAAGCGCGGTAAAATAATCGAATAAATACAAATAATTAGCTCCGTGATAAATATTTTAATAAATAATCAGTTTTAATCAATAAATTAAAATATTTCCATAATTTAATATTCCATGCTAATGTATATTTTATAATATATAAAATATTTCGGCAACGAATTATCGATAACACGGCGTTCGACTTTGACAATATAAAATATAAACAGTAGCATGTTATATATTACCGTTTTTTGTCATTCGCACGGTGACTCTTGAATAATAAAGTGGTGAGAAACATTTCGAATATTGTAATTTTCTTACTAAACACGATTACGATTAGTATCGAAATATAATTTGCTTTAAATATTAATAAAAATTAATTAATTAAAAATTAATTAACAATATGAAACTGTATCGCAGTCATTTATCGAATCGTAATGCTTCATTATCGCGATTAAAAATTGAAACAGGAGATATATAAAAGGCAATAAGAGAATTAATTATGTAATGATCTTTCGATCATTGCTGTTAATTATAATATTTCTTTAACAATATTAAAATTAAATATATTTTGACCAATGCTTTAAATTTTTTCAATCCTTTTTAATTAAACAATATACAATTTAATCGAGAATAATTAAATTATAGGAATCCACAATATTAAATAATCGCTTCGATCGTTGCGATTTTTGTGGACAATAATTATTATTTTAATATTTGAAATCACAAATATATTTCATCCGTGTTATCTTATCGTTCTATTTGACAATGTAAATATAATTTGGATTGTGAGAGAACACGAAGTAAAACAATCGAATTATGGATGCAAATAATTAGCATAACGAAAGGCTCCGTGATAAATTGTTTAACAAATAATCAATTTTAATCAATAAATTAAAATACTTCTATAATTTAATATTCCGCGTTAGTGTATATTTTATAATATATAAAATATTTCGGCAACGTGTTATCGGTGTTCGATTTTGACAATATAAAATGTAAACAGTAGCGCGCTATGTTATGACTTTATCATCATTCGCACGGTGACTCTCAAGTAATAAAGTAGTGGTGCGAAACGTTTTGTATTATAATTTTTTTACTAAATACGATTACGATTAGTATCAAAACTTAATTAAATCGAAACTATAAATATTAATAATTAAAAATTAATTAACTTTTGATAAACGACATGAAACTATCGTAACAATAAATTTTTATCGAATCACAAACATTCATTACCACGAATAAAAACTGAAAGGAAATACATAAAAGGGAGTAAGAGAATTAAATATGTTATGATCTTTCGATCACATTGATGCTTATTATAAAAATATTTCCTTAATAATATTAGAATTAAATAATATTTCGATTACTGCTTTAAATTTTCTCAATCCTTAATTAAACAATATACAATTTAATCGAAGATCGATTAAAATGATAGAAATCCAAAATATTAAATAATAACTTCGATCGATTCGATTTTTACGGACAATAATTATTACTTTAATACTTAGAGTCAAAAATATATTTTATTCGTGTTACTTTATCGTTCTACTTGACAATCAAAATATAATTTGGATTATGAGAGAACACGAAGTAAAACAATCGAATTACAGATCCAAATAATTAGTATAACAAAAGGTTCCGTGATAAATTGTTTAATAAATAATCAATTTTAATCAATAAATTAAAATACTTCTATAATTTAATATTCCGCGTTAGTGTATATTTTATAATATATAAAATATTTCGGCAACGTGTTATCGATACCACGGTGTTCGACTTTGGCAATATGAAGTATAAACAGTAGCGCGTTATGTTATGATTTTGCCATCATTTGCACGGTGACTCTCAAGTAGTAAAGTAGTGGTGCGAAACACTTCGTATATTGTAATTTTTTTATTAAACACGATTGCAATTAGTATTGAAATATAATTTGCTGTAAATATTAATAATTAAAAATTTAATTAACTTTTGATAAACGACATGAAATTATATCGCAAATATCGCAATCATTTATTATTGCGAATAAAAATTGAAACAGGAGATACATAAAAGGGATAAGAGGATTAATTATGTTATGATCTTTACGGACAATAATTATTATTTTAATACTTGAAGTCAAATATATTTCATACGTGTTACTTTATCGTTCTACTTGACAATCTAAATGTAATTTAGAGTATGAGAGAACACGAAATAAAACAATCGAATTATAAATACAAATAATTAGCATAACGAAAGACTTCATGACCAGTAGTATATTATAGTTTAATAAATAATCAATTAATCTTAATCAATAAATTAAAATACCTCTATAATTTAATATTCGTCGCGCAAATATTTTATATTACAGAAAATATTTCGGCAACGAGAGAATTATTAATAACACCGTGTTCGACCTCGATAAACAGTATCGCGCTATTGTTAATATGTGACGTGGCTTTATTATCATTCGCACAGTGACTTTGAGTAGTGACGTGAGAGACATTTCACATATTATCAAATTCTTTCTTAACATAGTCAATCTTGGCGATATAAACAGTACCGTGGTAATGTTTCTGACCTACGATCATTCCCTCAGTGGCCTTCGAACAGTAGGGTAGTGATGTGAGACGTTCTATATATTATCAAATTCTTTCTCTAACAATTATTTTGAACATTGCTTTATATAATAGATTATCTCTTATCTTTTATATTTTTATTTATCGTTTATATTTGCAAATTAAAATTTATATAGTATATTACAAAATTAATTATATATTATATTATATATAAAATTATATATAATATAATATAACCCTCCCATGGGGTACACCTTGTCGCGGTGGGAGGGCTTAGTACCTGGACGGTGCCTTAAATTCTGGAGGTTTATCTTAAATTTTTCAATTTATGATAAATCTTAAGGTGCCTGAATGGGAAGCCAAATACCCTTTCGCGTCGTCGGTGCCGTCAACGTGTCGCGGACGGCAAGCGCTTCGTCAACGTGTCGCGTTAGGTATATACATATTAGGGAGTGCCGTTAAAAGTATATACATATTAAGTATATACATCGCGCGATCAAATATAAAATTTTTAATCGCATTTAATCGAAATAGTGCGGGAGTGCCGTTCAGTATCGCGCGTAAAATAACGAAAATGGCGATATAAAAATATCGCTCGCGAGTGCGAGAGTGTCGTCAAAGTATCGCGCGCCAACAACATGAGATACGATATATTAAAGTGTGTTTCTCGTAATTATTCCGCGATCGGGAGTGCTATACAAAGTGTCTCGCAATCGTTTCTGTACATGGTTAAATATAATTAATTGTTTGTTCGCGAGTGAATATCAGTGCTACAAGGAAACAGCAAAGAATGAAAAAGAAAGGAGAAGGACATCTGGAAAAGTATTGGACAGCCGAAGTGACAGAGCCTGAAGCAGCCAGAGAGATATGTGGTGAGTAATTTATAAAAATTATTTATTATTTATATATATTATTTTCAAAATAGATATATTGCTTATCATTTTTTCATTTCCTCGATAGTAGATTTATATAATTGACAATTATCCAAACTAGATAAATAAAGACTAATCGAGACATCAAAAGTCGAATTAAATTTATAGATTTGAATATTAATTTTTCATTTTCGATTTAAAAAAAAAAATTTCGCGAAAAACGCGACTTTCTGAAAGATGATGGAAAAAGTTTATATATATCATAACTATATAAAATTATTTATATAAAAAATTTTAATATGAAAAAAATTTATATATGTTAATTATTTTCTCTTTTCACAAACAAACGTAAATGTTCGAAATTCTTATTTGTTTTTTCGACCGTTAAACGAGTGGTTGGGAAATAGATAAGTTAGTATATTTGTGGAACCCAATTTGTTTACCTCACGTAAAAGGTAGAAATATAACTTTGTTTAATCACGCAATAATTTTCGTGAATGAAAAAGCTACGCGAAAAATATGGTTTTAAATATATATAAAAATATATTAAAAATATATATAAAATATATAAAATATATAAAAAATATATTTAAAAAATCTATTCTTTTTAAAATTAAAGTGATTAAAGACAAAAAGAGAAACAAAAAGTATAATCATAATTACAAATAAATATAATTATAATTAGATATTTAGAAATATTTCGTGATAGTCAATAATTATATTTTTTTATCGTATACATATGAAATTGTTGGACATGAGATTTAAACGAATTTTTCGTGTTATATTTGATATAACCAATATCAATACAGCAGATAAATTGGTAGATTCACGAATCACAATTTATGTAGAATGGAGATTTATTATTAAAGAGGAGAAGAGAACAAATTTTAAATTTACTCCGAGATATTAAATGAATTTATGCAGAAATGATTACATGTATATATAAACGATAAAAATATGATAAGATACTTAAATTTTTATGATAAGATGCTTAAATTCTCATCGATACAATGCGGAACAACAGAATTATAGTATTCAGTAAATATAATTAAATAGAAATAAATTCAAGTCATACACAAAGTGGTAATAAAGCAAATAATTAAAATTTAGGAAAATTATTGCATACAATTAAATTCTTTTTTAAATATATGTACTTTCATGGAATATTATAAACGAAAATCTATTTTTTTATTTTAATCATTATTAATTTTACATAATATTAAATATATATATATATATATATATATATATATATATTTATTTATTTATTTATATTTATGTATATTAATGTC